TTGGCCAAATTTTATAAATCCCTCCAAATATTTCAAAATCTTTAATTATACAAAGCTAATGGGAAAAGACTGATGGGACAAAAGCCTGGATACGAAGAGTAAACTTTTCCCGCTTAAAGTGCTTGGATAGGATAGGATACATCCATTGGGCCCGTCAATTTATTATGGGGTTTGTACTGATGGGACAAAAGCCTGGATACACAAGTACACTTTTAAAGAGCATTGATTATACTCTTTCCGCCCTAAATATTTGCCACATTTGTATTCCTGAGACAAAATATCAACTTTTTTCAATTCATTTTATTTACATATTGATATATAAATAAAAAATAAAATTTACATATAAAAAAAACTACATGAAAAGTTCTTCGAAATAAGAGGTGTCAAGAATATTTTATTTTATCAAATAACCAATGAAAATGTAGAAATAAACAAAAGTTCCCGCGACTGCTGAAAAAACAAACGTTGCAAATAATTTGGGACGGAGGGAGTATATTTTGAGTGGCGTGCAAAAAGAAAAGGCATGGATATCTCGAGAGGTCTGTGCGACACAGACAATTATCGTATGTGTTTGTCTGTGCGAAGTATGGGTCGTGCACCCTCACATTTTCTATCAACCCGACTACCAATAAATGCTGATCTTTCTCGCAATCAATTTGCTTCTCTTTTACAGATTTTGAGTTTTGTTTTTTTCACTTAATTGAATTTGAAAATTTGATACAATTATCTAGCTAAACATGAATCTGTATTTTGATCTTAATTAAAATTAAATTCTGAATACGATATGAGTACTTATTGGTTATCTATTATTTCTTTTTGTTTCCTTCACGTTGTAAAAATTTACTTTAAAAAATATGTGAAAATGTCAATAAACTTGATTTAATTAGAGTTGATAACTGAATCTTTTTTTAGGATGGTTATCTTTGCTATGTGTTTTACCTCTATGGGGTTGCAAATCACCATCACTAATAGAAGACTACTTTTTCTATGGTGACGGGTGAAAGTAGAGTTCCAAGTTTAATATTGATTTGGTCTTTTAAGTTTATTGTCTTTCTTATACTCCATCCGTCTTATAATGATCTTCCTGGTTCTCAAATCCCAAGTTTTTTCAATCTATTTTATTTAAATATTGGTATAGAAATAAAAAATAAAACATACATATTTAAAAACTACATCAAAAGTTCAACAAAACAAGTGGTGACAAGAATATTTTATTTTATCATATAGGCTATGAAAAAACACAAATAAATATACATTCCCGTGAAGTTGGAATAGTGCTCTGGAAAGATCATTATAGGACAGAGGGAGTACCATTTTTGCTTGATTTCTCTTTAGGTCTTGCTTTTAGCTCCTCTTGGTGAGATCTTGGGCTCCTCTTTCACTAGAAACTATTTGAAGCTACATAGATGGTGGTGTGCTCCATCACTCACATGTCTATTTCGGGTTATGATGATCTCTTATTAAAGTTATTTTCAATTTAATCTATATGAAAATTAGGATGGAGCTAAAAATGAAATTTATACACTACTTCCGTCCCATTTTATAACGCTTGTTTCGGTTTACGATGTTTGACTGAAATTATTTTCAAACCATTTTATATGACAAATGGTATAGAATTAAAAAATAAAAATTACATATTAAAAAAACTACATCAAAAGATTTACAAAACTAGTAGTGACAATAATATTTTATTTTATCAAATTGCTAACGAAAATAGAGAAAGATGAAATACATTGGAAAGCGTGGGAATTGAGCCATGAACTATTTATTTCAAAGCGTGAAGTTAATTGGAAAAGAAAGGAATGATTCAAAAACATATTTTGAGAATTTACTAAATTTTCGTGGATCTATGTCTTAAATATTTTGATTTAAAGGAAAGATCCTTCTATTTTGATTTTACTAAATAAAATTTTTAAAAGAAAGGTAATACGGAGTAATACTTTTATTAAATTAACAAGTCATTTCGGTTGTGATTTAAAGTATAAGTAATTGATTATATATTCTTTGAGCACTTATATATGAAATAATAAATGAAGAAGCTATTTCGGATGTTATTTAAAGTATAGGTAATTGATTATACTCTTTGACCATTGATATAGGAAATATTAAATGAAGAAGCATTGATATACGAAATATTAAATGAAGAAGTCATTTCAATGTCCTATAGGTAATTGATTATATTTTTTGAGCATTGATATATGAAATATTAAAAGAAAAAGCATTGATATATGAAATATTAATTAAAGAAGCCATTTTGGATGTGACTTAAAGTATAAGCAATTGATTCTTTGCTTTGAGCCACACACCCAAGCTCAAATTAATAGTGTAAACAATTTTCAAAATTGTTGAACATATCGAGGAGCATTGATATACGAAGTATTAAATGAAGAAGTCATTTCTGATGTGATTTAAAATATAGGTAATTGATTATATTCTTTAAGCCACATACCCAAACCCACATTAATGGTGTAAACAATTTCAAATTTGTTGGACATATCAAGGACTATCGATATACGAAATGTAGTATTAAATGAAAAAGCTATTTCGGATGTGACTATAAAGTATAGGCACGAGATTATTTGCTTTGAGCCACACACCCCAAAACCCACATTAATGGTGTAAATAATTTTTAGTTTTGTTAGACATATCAAGAAACATTGATATACGATATATTAAATGAAGAAGTTATTTTGAATGTGACTATAAACTATAGGGAAGAGATTATTTGCTTTGAGCCACACACTCCAAAACCCACATTAATGGTGTAAATAATTTTTCAATTTGGTTAGACATATCAAGAAACATTGATTTACGATATATTAAATGAAGAAGTTATTTTGGATGTGAGTATAAAGTATATGGAAGAGATTATTTGTTTTGAGCCACACATCCAAACCCACATTAATGATGTGAATAATTTTCAATTTTGTTGGGCATATCAAGGAGCATTGATAGACGAACTATTTAATGAAGATGCCATTTCGGATGTCACTTAAAGTATCTTTCGTCATATCACAATGACAATTAACAAAAGACAAGGCCAATCACTAAAACACGTGCGATTATTGCTCAAGAATTCAGATTTTAGTCATGGCCAACTTTAAGTTGCTGCCTCTCGAGTGACCAATTGACGTGGTTTGAAGATCTTGATTTGTAATGATGACTTACCACCTTCAAATATCACAAGGAATTTAGTGTACAAGGAAGTTTTTCAGAACCTTTAATTTGATCTATTTTTGTCTTCACTATTAATTCTTCAATATTAGTATGTAATGTTTTTAATCTTTATATCGAATATAATTTGTTTCGTGTCTTTATATATACATTATAAATTTAATATATTATTTTCTTTCATTGTCTCAAATTACTCGTGCAACGCACGGATTAGAAATCTACTACCTCTAAAACTTCATACATTAATATCCCAAGGCATTAAAGGCAAGACAGATTCTTTTCCTCCCAAAACAGTCATGCCTTAAATGCAATTCACATCCTTCATTTAACATTAATGGCAGCATTATCTTTTCCTACTTCCTCAATCCTCACCCATTACATACCTTTTGAAGAAGCCAATGATGATTTCGCGGATGTATTACTGTCTGCCCCTACTTCTGGAAATTCCTTTGGAAGCTTTCAATCCCACGAAACAACCAACTTAATGTGTATAATTGGTGTGCAAGCAAGAAACGAAAGGAGGCAAAGAATAATGGAGGCAATTCTACAAAAATTCAAGAACGGAAAACTTCAGCGTGGGTCACTCCAGACATTCGCTATAGAATTCAACATTTCAGATCATTGGGTTCGAGAGCTATAGAAAGTAGCAAAATCTCAATTGGAAAGGGACCAAGCAATGGATGTTGAATACATGTGGCATGGTAACTCGGGACAAAAAGGATTTAATTAATGTTCACGTATCAAAGATTACTGATATTTCACTCCACCAGCGCCAAACCCTCCTACGTGCTTTAAGCCACTGCTTGAATGTGTCAGCTACTACACTTATTCTATTGAGTTTAGTTACCATATTCAATTGGGAAATGCTAGTTTATAATATCAAGTATCGTCATCTTTGGGTCAATTGAGAGGGTATTAGCATTTACTTTCAAAATACTTACAGAGCTAATAAATTTACGATAAAGTATCATATATGTATTGGGGGGAGGTTTTCATGACTTTGGAAGCTTCTACGGTGTCCCATTCGTAAAATTGATAGTTTCTACCCGCCTAACACCCCGACAAACCTTCCACCCCGCTTCGACCCAAACATCGCTCCTCACCCCCTTCGCGTACATGTGCACAACTCTTGGACTTGATTTTCAACGGTGAAGAGCATTTCACAAGCACTTGGACTCTTCACAGCATTGGATAATCGACAAGATGCTACAACTTAATATTACGGAAAAACAGCTACTCACCGTCCCGCAAAACCTTTATCCTTTCTTTTTTCATCGATCCCAAAAAATCTTTCTCATTTCTATTAAAAAGTCTCTTTTACCTCTACTATTTCTTAACCTACCGATCACATCACACTTTTTTACTATTAATATACCCATCACATTCTATTTTTACTCATCACATTCACATTCTACTTTAACTCATCTTAAATTATTTAAAAATAAAAAAGCAGAAAGATTTGGTGGGACGGAGGAGTACACACTATTACTAAGACACATGTAAACTACTCCCTCTGTCCACCATAGATCTTCCCAGTCACTATTCACATGGTCAAACTTTACTCACTTTGTTTACTCAATTTTACTAGTAATTTCATAAAATAATATAGTCTTGTCACCTCTAGTTTTGTAGAACTTTTCACGTAGTTTATTACTATATAAATTTTATTTTAAAATTTTACTCCTATAATCAGTTAAATTGAATTGAAAATAAAGTCGGTCAAGCCTCGTAACGCGTAATGGGAAGATCATACATGGACGGAGGGAGTATTTTGGTTTGTTAAGAATAATGTTAACGTGAGTTTAATAACTCATCAACTACACAAAACACACCTACAACAAATGGTCTCACCTACAAGGGTAGCTGGGGAAGAACGTGTCATTATGTTATTACTTATTACTCCTCCCCACGTTGTTGCATATATTATTATATTGCAGCAGCAACAATGCTTTAATGCGCTGCTTCTGGATATATATGGCGAAAATTAATTTACTTCGTTTACGTACTACGAACGGACTGATGAGTAAGACATTAAAGATGAGTGGCGGGGCGGTCTCCTTCTTCTTCTTCTTCTTCTTCATCACCTCCTCCCTGCTGCAGCGCGTAGAAGCGGCTTCTGGTTCGCCTGTGAGCTTTCTTCCCGGCTTCGATGGCCCTCTTCCTTTTCAACTCCGAACTGGGTTTGTTTCTTTTCACGACTCCTTTGTTTGTTATATACTCCATATGTCCTGAACACTATGTTTGATTCAAGAAATTTGAAAAGAAAAGAAAATGAGTTCTCTCATTTTTCTTACCAAAATGGAAGAAATTTGGTTTTCCCTCTATTTAGAATATTTTGCCTTCTCGTTATCTTTTCCTTCCACTTTTCCTTTATTTTTCTCCTCTAACCAAACAAGAAAAACTGTTTTTCACTTTGTTTTCTTTTATTTTTCCTTTCAAGTTCCTTGAACCAAATATAATGGAAAAGATTGCGACAGTTTGATTTTTTTGGTCAAATAATGCAATACTTCCACCACAAATCATGAGAATGGTATCTTTAGATATAATGTAAATTTAATAAATTTGGGTTCATTTTAAAACATGGTTTTCAAATATCAAATTTTTATACTCCCTCCGTCCCGCTATATTCGTCCACTTTTGACTTTTAGAACTGTTCATCTAAGCACTTTGACTCATCAAATTCTCTCAATGTGTAAGCCTAAAAATAGTCATATGTGATCTTGTTTGATTTGTCTTAACATATAGGTTATTAATATATAATTTCTATAATTTTTTAATATACAAATTACAAGATAAAATGGATTAAAGAAGTGTATTGGATGGTGTGTAAAAATGAAAATGGATAAATACTCTAGGACGGAGGAAATAATATTTAAATATTTTTTAACTATATTTAATTCATGGTCAAAAGTATAACATAATTTGACCTAGAAAATCAAATTTTAACAAGTTTTGGGACGGGGGTACTATATTGCCAGCCTCCCATTAATTTACTTTCCATTCATACTTTTTCGTTGTTCTTGTATGTTTATTCTTAAATAAGCTATTCCCCCTTTAAATTAAATGGCTTTTATATTTGTAGATAACTTTTCAATTTTGTTTTTTGATGTGATGGATAAAATTAAGATGTAATGAATATATTATTAGTGAACAAAGTATGATGTGATAGGTAAGCTAAGGAAAAAGTAAGGATAAAAGTGATTAATTATAGAAAATGAAAGTGTTTTGATGAAAGAAAAAAATATGAAAGATAGAGTGTTTTTGAAAACGAAGCGAGCACATAGTATATTTTTCTTAGTTTAATTTTTTTAATCGATACTCAGCTTTGTATTTTTTTAGTGCTATTAACCCTAGTTCAATATAGTATCTGTCATATTTTCTCAACTTATCGATGCACAAAGATTGTCTCATTGGGGCTGATTGAACTTATGTATGTATGTATGTATGTATGTATGTATGTATGTATGTATGTATGTATGTATGTATGTATGTATGTATGTATACTCTCTTTGTCCCTCGAAACTTTTCCTATTCTGACTTTTATGGTCAAATAATAATACTCTTTAAACACAAATTAAACATAATCAATATAAATTAATGTTATAAAAATTTGATATATCAAAATTATATTCTAAAATGAAACCATTTATATTGAATTTGTATTATAATTTAATATACTCCCTCCATCCCAGAATATTTGTCCACTTTCATTTTTACACATCATGCAATGCACTTCTTTAATCCATTTTATCTTGTAATTTCTATATTAAAAAATTATAGAAATTATACACTACCTCCGTCCTAAAAAGATTTACACGTTTTGACTAAAGTTGAAATTAAGGAATGGATAATTTTGTGTTAATTTTCCAAAAATATCCTTGATGTGATGGGTAAAAGTAGGATGTGATGTGTAGATAATTAGGAAAAAAGGTATGATATGATAGGTAGGATTTGAAAAGTAAGCGGTAAAAGTGGTTTTTTAATAGAAATGGGTAGAAGATTGTGGGACGCAATTTTTTTGAAAGGTGTAAATCTTTTTGGGACGGAGGGAGTATTAATAGTCTATATGTAAAGACAAATCAAACAAGATCACACATGACTATATTTAGGCTTACATTTTGAGAGAATTTGATGAGTCAAAGTGCTTAGATGAACAATTCCAAAAGTCAAAAGTGGACAAAAACTGGGGGATATTTTTTTTACAATTTGTAGTCAAAGAGTGTCATTATTATTTGATAAAACTAAATTAAAATAGGAAGAATTTTCAAGGACGGAGAGAGTATATTATATATATATATATATATATATATATATATATATATATATATATATATATATATATATAATTGTAACCTAGACGCTAGCTATGATAAGTGTGTGCATGCAGGTACGTTGGAGTGGGAAATGAAGAAGATGTGCAACTTTTTTATTACTTTATAAAGTCGGAATCAAATCCGGAAGAGGACCCTCTCATTCTTTGGATCACGGGAGGCCCCGGTTGTTCTCCACTGCGCGCTATCATCCAAGAAATAGGTAACTCTCACTATAACATCCTAATCTGTCCAGGTCTAAACTTGGTATTCCTAAATATTCAAAATATTTCAAACATTTAAAACTTTATTTAATAATAAAGTTATCCAAGATAATAACGGAGTAGTTTAATGTTGCAAAAGCTGAATATATAACAATTACAAAACATAATAATTTTATGTCTTTTAAAACATCAATTCATTTCGCATGTCCACCCCGACCATTTCTCTCCCATCTGCCTCCAGGAATCATCATTTCATTCATTTTGTCTACCTGCGTGTAGCAAATAAAACATATTACACGCTCAGCGGTGAAGCTGAGTAAGCATATCTAAAGCGTCGGACATCCACATAAATTGAATCTCAATTCATAATTAACCATTTGATATCATGCACACAATATATAATTCAATCATTATATTCTCAATGTTTTATTCCAAATCATACCGGTATTCAATATCTTAACATTCAACAATATCCTTAACTATGCTTGGTCTAAGGCCAATCTTTTTATTGTTTACCAACTCTTAAACTTATTCTACTTTAAGGCACTCCTAACTAACTCTTAAGCTAAGTCCTTAGTTTAAGGTGCATATTTTCTGATTGATTTACCAACTCTTAAACTAGCCTTCGCTTAAGATACAAATCCAGAAAAACCAAACAGTAGAATACTAACTATCAGGTTGGGTGGTATCCCCAAACGAGTGCCTCTAGTTTGGTTTATGGATCCCGTACGTACGTTTTTACCCAAGACCACCGAATATACATGTTTATACCCACTAGGCCCATTTTAATCGGATGTCTATCTTAGAGGTCTTCTAGATAGCCTTAACAATACCACTCATTTTTATCAACCCATTTATTTCGATTCCAATTCAATACTTTATAATTATCATTTTATTCAGAATAATCATCATCATTAATCCATAATAATCATGCATCATAATCATCAATTTAACGTAACATTCAAATCAATAGCAATTAGTAGTCTAGCTTCGAGTGTTAACATCCTAGCTTATCGTCATGCATCACGTAAGGTCTTTTTAATTGTCACAACATTATTTTTATTTTCAGAATTTATACTCATATTGATCATAATTAATTAGTGTCAAAAATAGGATTTAATGGTTCAAAAATCGGATTTTCTGGAAATTAATCGGATCAGACGGTACCCTTCACGGTACCTCGGTACCGCGCCGGCGGTAATGGGGTGCCGCCGGTGGACAGGTACCGCCAGAGGACTCTATTGTTGACGGTAGCATCATACCGTTCCGGCGGTAGGTGGGTACCGTTTGGACGGTACCTAGCTACCGTTTCGGTGGTAGTGTGTTACCGTGCACTGTTCGTCGTCTTTTTTCTCAGGTTTATTTTCGGGAATTTCATTTTTAGTCACCAAACTTCAATTAAACTATATAGAAATATTCTCCAATGTTCATACATTATTATGGTAACATTAGTTCATAATTTTAACAACAATTTCAAGTTTTATGATTCTTGGTTCTTCAAACATGTCAAACACAAAACTTAACCAAATGACCATTTATGAACGTAGAAACGACCTATATAAACATTCTAGCCATTAGATATATCTACGGGCTTACCTTAATGTTAAACGATGATTCCGGCGAAAAGACGACGAAACTTCCGGCAACAAAAGCTCTCAACTCATGCGACCTCTCACCAAATTAATAGCACCAGAATGTTCTCCTTTCTCAGAGCAGCAGAATAGAGGGAAAGATATGATGTTTTGGTGAAGAATAGAGGGAGTTGGGTGTGCTTATGTAGTAGAGAAGAAGAGGAAGCTGCCAAGGTTTACTCCTGTTTGTGCGGCCGAGTGGAGTGAACGACGATTGTGTTGGATTTCAAACGTAAGTCCCTGATTGGGACTAATTTAAGTCCCAGTCGGGGTACACTGTTTGGTCTAACTTTCTCTGAATTGGAATCCGATTGAACCGTCGTGGTCAGACAGTCAAACTTTACACAATGATATAATTTTTGTTATTTATTAACAAACTTTATAATTCATTTATTTTTGTGTCTTTCTCAGTAATTAATTAATTATCAATTAATTAATTCTGATAGACCTATTTTCGGGGCGTTACACCCACCCTGTGGTCTTTTTTTGGCCACTTAGTTGCCTATATAAGTACTTATCAATAGACTTGTGCAAATAAAGATTCGTGCCCGGGCCGGATTTTAAACAATAATTAGCCCATTTACATGGGCAGACCTAGCTCGACACGAATATAATGGGCTAAACTCTTTACACATACCTGCCCACCTTAGCAGGCCAAACTGTCCACCGGGTCGCCAGGCCCGGAAAAAACATCAAGAAAATCTTTTTGCATAAAAATATCAAGAAAAACATTGATCTCTTTTTTCAATGTTTAAGATAAAATAACCAGTCACCACACTTACACAGAAAGTATAATAGAGGTATTGTTGCACAATAACTAAACCAATCATACCCATTCATTAAAAGGCTATCGATTTTTGTTTAAAAGAAGTAAGTGAATTGAGCCATTACACATGAGGGTAGGGTGGGGGGTTTAGGAGGTGGGTTAGGGGGGGCCCAAAAACCCAGTGGCACCGGAGTGACACTGTTCTCCGGTGTCACTAGAACCGAACCGTTGTTAATTAATTTATTTAGTGATATAATTTTGAGCGGTATTCATACAGGACCATTGCTTGTTGAACCGGTGGAGTATAATGGGAGTTTGCCCAGGTTACTGCCATTTCCTTATTCCTGGACAAAGGTGAATAATTAATCTTTTATCTAATTTGATCTTACTTTAATTTATCTAAAATACACGTTTTCATTTTCTAAGCCACTGCCTATTTAATCTTTTCATTTGATTTTTTTCACGTTTTCTAATGTTATACTTTGACTAGTAATATCAATAATTACTCCCTCCGTCCTGAAATGTTCTTCCCACTTACTATTCACACGGTCAAACTTTAATCACTTTCTTTACTTATTTTCATTAGGTATTTGATAAAATAATACTCCCTCCGTCCCATGAAACATGGAACTTTTGCTTTTTAGGAGGGATTTAAGGGGAGTGTATTTTGGTATTGAATTTCCAAAAATGTCCTTTGATGTGATGGGTAAAAATATGATTTGATGGATAGATTATTAGTAAAAAAGTATGATGTGATAGTTAGAGTATGAAAAAGTAAGGAGTAAAAGTGACTTTTTAATAGAAATGAGAAGTGTTTTGTGGGACGGATAAAAAAAGAAAGGAGAAAGGTTTCATGAGACGGAGGAAGTATATTCTTGTCACCACTTGTTTTGTGAAACTTTTGATGTAGTTTTTAAATATATAAATTTTATTTTTTTAATTTTACACCTACAATCAAATAAATTGAATTAAAAATAAAGTCGGTCAAACTTCGTAAACATAACCGGGAAGAACATTATAGGACGGAGGGAGTATATATAAATACAGAGTATATTTTATAAAAACAAGTTAAAACTCTAAAATTATATTTCAAAAGAAACTAATAATGTTATATTTACACCAAAACACACTATATTATGCATTTGCTACGCAAATCGATGTCAACATTTATAAATTTTGATCAGAAAGTCAAATTAGAAAATTAATAAATGTGACCATTTTGATTCGTGGTAGGTTGCTAGCATTATATTTCTGGATTTACCAGTTGGGACTGGATTTTCTTATGCTACAACTTCAACAGCTCTCCACTCGGACAATTTGTTAACTGGCGCCAATGCATATGAATTTCTTCAAAAGGTTTTTAAAGATATATACGGAGTAGTATTTTCTAAGTAAACTGTACATAACTTATGAAACTTAAGTAACTATTTTCTTGTTATACGGCTTCATGGCCACTGGATTCAGTTGCTACGGAAGCCGCTGCCCTCCTACGGACACTTACAATGCTCTGTTCATAAAGTTGGTGATTTCAACCCCGCCTAACCTCCCCGGTAAACTCCCACCCCCTAGCTCCCCCCGCCCAGTCTCGATCTGAACTCATCCCCGGCCCCACTCATACCCCGCAATTTTAGTTGTCTTTTGAAGTCAAAAGTTTATCTTTTAAAGTCAATTATACTTACGGGGTGCAATTGACGTAGGCGGGGAGTGAGTTGAGGTCGGGACTATGCGGGGGGTTTACCGAGGGTTAGGATTGTAGGAATCATCAATTTTATGAACGGAGCACCGTAGGAGAGCAGTGGCTTCCGTGGCCACTAGAACCCAGTGACCACGGGACCTAGCCGCTTGTCGTAATTAATTTAATGGCTTTATTTTTTACTCCATTGAAGAATTCGCAATACCCCTCCGTTTCTTAAAATACGCATAGTAACTTTTTTTATCATGCCTATCAGACCATATTTTTTCACTAAAAATTTATGCATTATATCTTAATTTTAGACATCACATCAGGAGTAAAATTGGAAAGTTAACTACAAATATACACTTCTTATTTTTCTTAAAAATCAAAATATGAACCATTTAATGAAAGGGAGGAAGTAATATTTAAATTATGTACGAAGTAAAAGTCTAAGTCTAAACAGTTAAACAACAAGAATACATTGAGACAAAATTAGTATGAAAATTGTTTTATTGGATTATTTTGTTGTTTTTATTACTATACTTCATACGTACGCCCAAATTTAAGATGTTTGTTTATTATTTATAAAGTTAACCTATAATTATTTTTCTTACCCATTTTTATTATTCTTTTGATAAAATAATGTAGTCACATGGCCTCTAGTTTTTTAAATCTTTTTTATGTATTTTTTTAAAATATAATTTTCTTTTTTTAGTTCTATACTACTTTTCAAATAAAATGAATTTAAAATAATCATAGATAAACCTTGTAAATAACAATATATGTTTTAAACACTTTGGTTCCCATGACATTGGGAACCAATGTCATGGGATGACCCGGGGGCACTCCGGTGCCCCGTTCGTAAAATTGACGTTTCCTACCCCTTAACCCTCCCCGGTAAACCCCCCCACCCCACCCCGACCCGAACGCACCCCCCACCCCCTTCAATTGCACCCCACAAGTTGATTTTGACTTTAGAGTCAAAATTTGACTCCAAAGTCAAAATCAACTTGTGGGGTGCAATTGAATGGGGTGGGGGGGTGCGTTCGGGTCGGGGCGGGGTGGGGGGTTTACTGGGGGGTTAGGGGGGTAGGAACCGTCAATTTTACAAACAGGGCACCGGAGCGCCCCCGGGGCATCAATGTCATGGGAACCTTGCCCATGTTTTAAATCGGGACCAATGAAGTATATTACTTCCCCCATCCCCAAATCATTCACAAAAGTTGAAAACAAAAGCACCTTATACATGCTTCTTCGAAACGGTGTTCTATGTACAATTAGTGGTGGTTAAAAGCAGAAGCTGAAATGCCAAACAGAGTAAAATCACTTCCACTCAAAGCAGAAGCTAAATTATTAAAATCATCGCACTGCCAAACACACTCTAAGTAGTAAAGAAATGATTATTTTACTCATAAGTAGGCTCATGGTGGACTTAAGATCCACCATAGAATTTACCTTTACTATTTACGAAAAACAAAGAAAACTTTCAAAATTTCAAAATTTTTTCAATTTATTTATTTTGAAGATTGGTATATAAAAAAATCAAACTTACTGTTAAGAGTATCCCACATCGGAAACGTGTGAGTAAAATAATCCGGTATATAAGCCCTTGAGTTAAACTAACTAATCGATTGGATTCAATCTTTTAATGTGGTTCAGCCCAAGTGTCTTATAGCCCAATTCAGTTATCCATACCCATCCCAAATTCTATCATGGTATCAGAGCAGGTTTTGGCCCACCTCGTTTGTCAAGGTGTCCGTCTAGACGTTAATTCCTAGCGGCCCGTTTGTCTTTAGCCCTGTTGTCCGTATGGAGTATGTATCCAACGGCATGTGGCCCGTTTAACACGATTGCTCGTCTGGAAGTCCATACCCAGCGGCTCGTGGTCCTTTAGGTGTTGGCGCTCAAAAAAAAATCAAAGGAATGGGAGTTCATTTGCAAGTGGTCAACCGGTTAGATTCAAAATGGCCCGGTTGTCCACTTGAGGGGGAGTGTTAAGAGTATCCCACATCGGAAACGTGTGAGTAAAATAATCCAGTATATAAGCTCTTGAGTTAAAACTAACTAATCGATTGGATTCAATCTTTTAATGTGGTTCAGTCCAAGTGTCTTATAGCCCAATCCAGTTGTCCATACCCATCCCAAACTCTATCAGCCATCCAATCGATTAGTTAGTTTAACTCAATGGCTTATATACCGGATTATTTTACTCACACGTTTCCGATGTGGGATACTCTTAACACTTACATATCTAAAATGCACATAAAAAGTTTTACAAAATAAGAAGTGGCAAGAATATTATTATGATTATGATTATTATATTATAATGTTAAGGAGTATAATATTATAATTAATTTTTGGTGATCTAATTTGCAGTGGTTTGGAGAAAATCCAGAGTTTCTTTCAAATCCTTTCTATGTTGGTGGTGATTCGTACTCCGGAATCACAGTTCCAATCCTCACTGAAATGATATCCAATGGTAAACTACTTTACTACTCAGCTTTCATTTAGAGCATGAGCAATAGTGAGGCAAAATGTTAAGAGTATCCTACATCGAAAGTTCAAGAGCAAAATAATCGGTATATAAGCTCTTGAGTTAAACTAACTAATTGATTGGATTCAATCTCTTAATGTGGTTCAACCCAAGTGTCTTATTATCCAATCCAGTTGTCCATACCCATCCTAAATTCTATCACCAGTGGCAAGTAAATATTTTTATCACTCTCTTCATTTTCTTGCTATATTTGAATTATTATAAAAATATCTACCTCTTTATTTAACATAAAAATATTTTTATTTACTCAAAAAATGACATTATTAAAATACATTTAATTTTTAAAAATTATTTTTCTTATGCTCTCCATATTTTTGTATTTACCCCTTCATCTCAAATCAGATTACATTTTAGGTTTATGATTCAAAACTCCTTGTTTTTTTAAAATCATTTTATTTAAAATTGGTAAAAGAATAAAAAATAAAACTTAAAAATTAAAAAAAACATAAAAAAATATCTACAAAATAAAAGGTAATAAAAATATTTTATTTTATCTAATAATCAATAAAAATATACAAATAAACAAATATTATTGAGAAGTGAGAGATTATAACATATTGCGAGAAGGAAGGAGTAAAAAATAGTTCTACTACATCTAAAAAATACTTTCTAAAAAATAAATAATTCTAATTTTAAAAAAAATCTATATATTATGCCACACAAAAAAAAAACAATCAAAAAACCAAGGAATGGGTGGGAGTGTACATATGCCAAACGCGCTAACCTTTTTTTAGATTTAAAATGGCATTTATGCCCTTCTTAATTTCCATCTCATGAAGTTTCACTTGTTTTTTTTCACTCTTTTATTTTTACTTTTCCTTGTTTATACAAATAAATAAAATAACACAAACATTTTTCATCTCAAATTAAAAAATTTCATTTATTTATTTTTTAAGATAAAAGATTGTTTTGAAGAACTTTACAGAATATGAAAAATAGAAAAAAGGAATAAAATACCGTGTACAGAGTAAAAAGGAATAGAAAAAACTTTTTTAATAGAAAAAGCAATGAAAAAGAAATAAAAAGTTAAAAAAAACTTTACTTTCTTATTTCCACTATAAGTGAAATAAATAAAATAGAAAACTAACAAATACTCACTTCACCTAAAATTAAAAATTTTAACTTATTTATTTTTCAAATTTAAAATAATTTCGTTGGGACTCTAGAAAAATGAAAATAGAAAGATGAAGTAAAATACAACGTAAAACAAAAAAATAGTTTTTTAATTTTTTTTCATTCTCTTTTCTTACGTTTTTCAAAATTTTTTTCTTTTACTTCGTATATAGTATTTTATTTTATATTTTTATTTTTCATTTTCTTTTGCAAGGTTTTTCAAAAAAAAATTTTGGTTTGAGAAATAAATAAATGGAAAATTTTATTTGAGATGGAAAGTATATACTCCCTCCGTCCCAAAAAGTCTTTCGTGTTTACTATTACGGTCTCTCGATAACTCTTATTTGTTTCCGTGTTTTCATTGATCATTTGATAAAATAAAATATTCTTGTCACCTCTTATTTTGTAGAGTTTTCGGTGTAATTTTTGGACATAATTTTTTTATGTGTTATTTTCTTACTAATTTGAAAATAAAATTATTTTGAAAGGCACGAGATTTTGCACGTTAATCAAAGTAGGAAGAGTGTTATAATCTCTCTGTTTAATTAAACTCTTCCCATTTTGACTTTGGGTCAAAATAAAGGAAGAGTGTTTATGGCCCACTTTCCAATTTTGCCTCTGATGTGATGGATGAAAAGTAAGATGTAATAGTAGGATTATTAGTAAAAAGTATAATATGATAGATAGGATATGAAAAAGTTAGGGTAAAAATAATTTTTTCCATAGAAAGTGAAAGTGTTTTAGGGAATTGGAAAAAAATAAAAGAAAAGGATTTAATGAAAAGGGTGGAGTATTGCTTATTTGTATGAACAAGGAAAAGGGAATATAAAAGAGCGAATTTCTTGATAAAGTGATTGAAAGAATAAACATAAATGTCATTATAACTATGAAAATAAGTTAGGGACATAGTGCACCATTTTGAAAGCATAAAGTTTTGTAAATACTTTTTGAAAATAAATGAGTTTTGATACCGCTTTTATAGACTTCGGGGTGTCAATGCCCTCTCTAGCCCAAGACATCTAACCTGCCACCCAATCCCCTCTAAATGTGGGACTCTTATCCATTGCATAATTAATAACCACAATTTGGAAGGGGGCTTAGGGTAGAGCTGGGTGGAGGTAAGAATGTGACTAGGTGGGGGGTTTAGGGGTGGGTTAGGGGTAGAAACTATCAATTTTTTGAATGGGACAGTAGCACCGCTGGCAGTGTCAACAGAACCCCACTCAATTTACATATATAGTATTAAAATATAGTGAGTTTTCAAATGTAGTATCATTGTTCAGTGTTCACAAGACATTGTTTAGGTTAATGTTCACCACCACCAGACATTGTTCAAGTAAATATCTACTGCGATTGGATATTGTTCTTGCCACTAGATAATATTCAAGTAATATTTAAAGATTAATAACGGTAGTACATCAAAAAAACATATATTTTAGTATTATTTAATTCAAATTTACTTTACATATACGTACATTTTATTATTTTTAATTTTGTCTTCTATGAGAAATTAAATCTTAAATAATTTCTATGAGAAATTTAGACTCCTACCTGTGGAGTATTTAACAATTATAGTATTATTGAAATGCGTGCAGGAAACAGAGAAATCAAGCCATTCATTCACCTTCAGGTCTAAATTAGTGTATCATTCGTAATTTCCTCTCATTCGAGCAATTTATAAGAAATATTTATACTAAATAGTACTTCCTCCATTTGCAAAAAGACTTCCCATTTTAATTTGGGGCAAAAATAAGGAAGTGTTAAATTATAGTTGATTTTCAATTTTGCCCCTGATGTGATGAGTAAAAGTAAGATGTGATGGATAGATTATTAGAGAAAAAGTATAATGTGATAGGTAGGATATGAAAAAGTAAGGGTGAAAGTGGTTTTTTAATAGAAAAGGGAAGTGTTTTGTTGGAAGTGGAAAAAATGAAAGAGGAAGTGTTTTTGAGAACGAAGGGAGTACTAAAACTTAAGTCATTTTTCTAAATAGTACTTAAATTATTTTATTATCTAAATAACATTTAATAATGTCCAGAATGAAAAATAATGACCAATGATGGTGAATATTTACTTGAATAATGACTAATAGATAATGACTAAAATTGCTACATTGAAAAAACACATATGATGCTATTTAGAAAAAGTCATTATATTTTAGTGTTATCTAAGTAAATTCTCCCAATTTATAAACATGATGATGACAAACTCAGAGCAGCTTTATTGAGAGAGAAGTGTGAGAAAGGCCTTGTTTGGGAAAACGTTTTCGATTAACGTTATCGTTTTAGATAAAATTTTAATTGTGCAGATTAATTCTGAAAACGTTAATGCTAAAGGCTAGTGTCGGATAGCCTTTTCAAAACGCTAACACTATTCTCTAAAGCTGATGCCAAACGGGACCAAAAACTTATGTGGCATGAGGTCCCGAGTTTGATTCTCGAAACGCTTCCTCTTATTTTTGTCCGCATGAGTAGCTCATCAACTGGTCCAAAAAGAGGGTGTCAAGCCTGCAGTGTGGGAGGCTAGTTTTATTCTTTATAGTAACTCCTCGTACGCACCGGGCACGAAACGACTTTCTAAGGATTAGATTGAGATTATACCATGATTAACTTTTTAATTTCGAAATTTTAGTTGTTGTTCACATGTGGGATTTTTTAAATTTTTTAAACTTGTTTCAAAGTTTTTTTAGTTTCCAAGTATTTTTTTAAAAAGTATTTTAAAATATAAACGTAATATTCACTGAAATCTTAGTTTCAAATTATCCATAAATAAAAATTTCATACTTCGTACTAATTTTGTTTCAAGATGTTATTGGATAATGTTATTATTGTTAATTATTAATTAAAAAATTAAAATTATGGAGTATATGTTAATTATATTTAAAAAAATAAAAAAGTATTTTTGTGGTCTATATGTTTTTATTAAATTAATAAAATATAAATTTAAGTTATCTTGATTTATTATATGAGATATTATGTAATACCGCGCAAAATAATTTTAACATAGGGTAAATTTTAAAAATGGTACCTCAACTTTCACAAAAATTTCGATTCGGTACCTAAACTTCAAAACCTTTCAAAAAAATCCCTGAACTTTAAAAACCTTTCACGAGTGGTACCTGAAGCCGGTTTCAGATAACCAACAGGTCATTTGGGCCAAATTTTAATTTTTTGTATTTTATAATTTTTAAATTGACCCGTTTCTTTTTCTTCTTTTCCCTCCCCCTCCCCTTCTTTGTCTTCTTCTTCTTTCATCCCTTTTCTTCTTCTTCTTTCACCTCCTTTTTTTCTTCTTCTTCAAAGCTCCCCTCAGCCCACCCCTACCCCCTCCCAGCCCCCCATCCTGCCCCCCTTCCTTTCATCTTTTTTTCCACCATCCCCCTCACTCTCTTCTTGAGCTCCCTCTTATTCTCTTTCCTTTTACACATTTTTTTTGTTTTTTTGTTTTTTGTTTTTTTTGATATTATTTGTTTGTTTTTTAGTTAAAATTTTTGTTTTTTATCTTTTTCTTGATACTTTTATATTATTTGTTTGTTTGTTTACGAGTTATTTGTGAACTTTTTTTGTAAGTTTTTTTATCTATTCTCTTAAGAAGTGTTTTATTTTATTGTTTGTTTCACTTTCGAATTTATTTGTTGTTTTGTTGTTTGTCTTTTTTATCTTTTTTATCTTTTTTCTTGATATTTTTAAATTGTTTGTTTGTTTAGAAGGGGGTGGGGAGGGAAAAGAAGAAAAAGAAACGGGATCAATTTAAAAATTATAAAATACAAAAAATTAAAATTTGGCCCTAATGACCTGCTGGTTACCTGAAAACCGGATTCAGGTACCATTCGTGAAAGGTTTTAAAAGTTCAGAGATTTTTTTGAAAGGTTTTGAAGTTTAGGTACCGAATCGAAATTTTCGTGAAAGTTGAGTTACCATTTTTAAAATTTACCCTTTTAACATATGAAGCCCATCAATAGAAAAAGAAAAGAATGTACGGAGTAATTTTTAATTTTTAATGATATACTCCCTTCGTCCAACAATAAAGTTCACGTTCACTATTCACAGGGTCAAACTTTATGCACTTTGTTGGCCTATTTTTGTGTCTTCTTTGATAAAATAATATAGTCATGTCATCACTAGTTTTGTAGATCTTTTCATGTAGTTTTTAAATATGTAATTTTAATTTTTTAATTCCATACCATTTTTCATATAAAATGATTTGAAAATAATTTCAGTCAAATATCGTAACGCGCAATGAGAACTTTATTTGTGGACGGAGAGAGTATCAATTTGGTCCAAAAATTCTACCAAGTCAAATTCCTTGGAAATTCATAGTTTCAGAACAAAAATAGTGAACGTTATAAGGAGTCTCATCGCCTCATCAGCGCTCCATATTCTCCACCTAGAGCCCCACAAAATGTGACACCACCAATAAATGGAATGCCACACGCTGACGTGGAACATTTCAACCAATAAAAAATAGTCCAGTCAACGAGTGACAAAAGAGTGGAGTGGGATGCTCTGCAGTGGCAAGTCATTGTTTTTATTATTCTCTTTTATTTTTTCCCATATTTGAATTATTTGAAGTTATTTAACCTGTTTATTTTATCATAAAAAATATTTCTATTAACTCAAAATTATTTAATTTATTTTTTAATATAAAAGCATTTCTACTTTTTTTAAAAAAAACTTATATTTTTATGCAAACAAATAAAATAACAATAATTTTTCCTCACTTTTTAATTTTTTTATAAATATTTTGATTATTTGAAATTATTATTGTTATTTATTTTATCATAAAAAAGGTTATATGGAGTATTTCGTTAAAAAATTATTTAAAAAGTCTCTCTTACCAAAAAATGAAAAAAGTGAAAAAAAGAAAAATAGTAATAAGAGAAGCCTCGCAGATGACACGGGAATGGAGAACTCTACCACCATACATGGCAAATAACCAAATAGGCTGAGGTGGCAGGGCGTGGGAATGCATCTCCACGCCGCTACTGGTGCTCTTAGCCCAGGTATACGAGTATTTTAATTTTTATGAGATTTTGATGTTCGGCTGCATCGTGTGGCGTTGATGTTAGAGGACCATGCTGCTGATTGATACCGGCGGTGTTTGAGCAATGGCCTGCTTTAGAGCTGGCAAATTAGTCGGTCAGGTCGGATTCGGGTTCGATCACTTCGAGATCGGGTTATTTTGGTTCGGGTCAATTCGTGTTCGGGTTGAGAACTGTATGTTCATGACCTAGTGTCATCGGGTTCGAGTCGGCCCAACAGGTTATGACTTTGGTTTTTAACACTTTTAAATTCACATTAACACTTACGTTTTGTATTAAATAAATTTAAAATATCAAAAAATATGCATTAAATCTATTAGATTATTTTATTTTAAATTCTGAAGTAATTTTTAGATGTATAAATCAATATAAGGAATTTAAAAAATGCTTATATTTTACAAAAAAGTAAGATAATTATGCAATATCATTAAAATTTTGTTTGAAAATATAAATTTATACACTAAAAACGAGTAGTAATGTGTATAATGCTCTAATTCAGAAGACATAAACAAGGAATAATAAAGACATGTTTATCCCAATGGTGAAGGAGCAAATTGAATGAAAAAGCATGAGGAGAATTCTCAACTCGAGATGGTAGAAGGTGCAAAATCAATGGGTGCCGGAGCTACTACAATTGCTTCAACGGGAGCTCGTGTCGGTATTCGAAATGTCCTTAGCTCTTCGATTCATTCTGTGGAGCGAAATCCATCATTGGCTAAACAATTATTTGGTTATGCCATTTTGAGATTTGCTCTAACCAAAGTTATTGCATTGTTTGCCTAATGATGGCCTTTTTGATCTCATTCGTATTCCGGTCGAAAATGAAAAGGAGGCTAGTCCCTGAAAATGCCCGTTCTCAAAGTTGGGGTTCATAATCCGGCATGCGCACCACTCGCTTTGATCACGGAGGATGCAAATAGATCAGAGAAATTAAGTGCTAAATCCAATGTTGGAGATGGCAAGGATAGTAGAACTGAAGCTATAAATGAAGATGACAAATGGTCCAAAGTCATGGGAAAAGAATGATGGTGTAAATGATGATGATGCCAAGACGCTAAATCTGACATCAAGTGAACTATCTGTGCCAATAAATGCCTTGGCGGATGTGGTCATGGCAGAGTTTGATGTTTTAGAAATTATCGACAAAGTGGCAGATGCAGATAATATGCAATAAGAAAACCTCAATTTGTTTGATCCCATTAAGCTTTTTGACATTGTCGATATGGTAAGGACGGAGAACCTGATTTTACTAAAAGCAACTACATATGTTATGTCCATGTCTCATAGTTCCCTCACTTTGCTCCAAGAGCCATGATGATTGAAGATTCAAAAAATGGACTACTTCTTTGGCTCAACATTCTCTCGCTGGTCCAGAAGCACAAGTAAGAGCCATTTTAAGGGGGTGAGATTGATATGATAATAGATTAGTTATATTATTTATTAATCAGTACTCTTCCGTTCTCCAAAACACTTCCTCTTTCATTTTTCCTCTTCCACCCAACACTTCCACTTTTTATCAAAAAACTACTTTTATCCCTACTTTTTCTTATCTTACCTATCACATCATACTTTTTCTCTAATTATTTATTTATTACATCTTATTTTTACTCATCACATCAATGCCAAAATTAGAAGTCAACTACAATTTAACACATTTTTTATTTTGGCACTTGGTCAAAATGGAAAGTGTTTTCAAGAACGGAGAGAGTATTCTTTATAATATTTTAGAGTTAATCTAGTTTAGGGTTTAGTACGGCCTGAACCTATTAGGTTAATTAGCATTACTCTTACTCTGTATATATTATAATCCTTCCTCATTATTATTTAATCAATGAGAAATATCAAAATCCTAAATCTCTCTTTTCTTCGGAGTCCAGAAATGCTCAAAGTTTTTCTTCTCTCTTTGTCTCCCCTTTCTTAGAATTAAAGAAATCCTAAATCTCTCTTTTCTTCGATGTTAAGTCGGATGATGGAATTTTCTTAGCTTATTCATTGCGTAGTAAAGCATATAGAGTGTTCAACAAGCGTACTAAGACCGTAGAAGAGTCTATTCATGTTGTTTTCGATGAGTTTGATGCTCGCTTGGCGAGAAGAAGTAATGTTGGAAATGTTACAGGTTCTTATGACGAAGAAGAAGAAATCGTCAAGGAAAAGGAACCAGAGGAAGAGAAAACACAGGAGGAAATGGAGCTCCCTAAGGAATGGAGAACGTTAAAGGGATTGACAACGTCATTGGTGACATAACACAGGGAGTTTCCACTCGTAATTCTCTTAGGGACAAAATTAATCACATGGCCTTTGTTTCACAAATTGAACCAGCAACCGTTTTGGATGCCATTAATGATGAGCATTGGTCTATAGCAATGCAAGATGAGCTTAACCAATTCAAACACAATGATGTTTGGGAGTTGGTGCCTAGACCTAATGATCATTCCGTTATTGTCACAAAATGGGTGTTCCGTAACAAACTAGATGAAAATGGAATAATTACTAAAAACAAAGCTAGTCTTGTAGCTAAAGGATACAATGAAGAAGGCATTGATAACGAAGAAACTTATGCACCTGTTGCACGATTAGAGGCAATTTGCTAATTACTTGCTTTTGCATCTACGATGAATTTTAAACTCTATCAAATGGATCTTAAAAGTGCCTACCATAACTGTATCATCCAAGAGGAAGTGCATGTTGAACAACCCCCGGGTTTCAAAGACTATGAGTTTCCCGAACATGTGTTCAAACTCAAAAAGGCGCTTTACGATGTCAAACAAGCACCTCGTGCTTGGTATGAACGTTTGAGCAAATTTCTTTTAGACCATGAGTTCAAACGAGGTCAAGTCGACAGTACTCTTTTCATCATGAAAGATAACCAAGTCATCCTTTTGGTTCAAGTTCACGTAGATGACATCATATTCGGTGCTACTAACGAAGCTTTGTGCAAGGATTTTTCTAATATGATGCAAAGTGAATTTGAGATGTCGATGATGGGAAAACTGAAATTCTTCCTTGGACTACAAATTAGACAATGCAAAGAAGGAACATTCGTGTGTCAAACGAAGTATTGCAGGGAATTGCTTAAGAGATTTGACATTACCGAATCCAAATCCATTGACACACGTATGAGTACCTCTTTATAGTTTAGGGTTTAGTACGGCCTGAACCTATTAGGTTAATTAGCATTACTCTTACTCTGTATATATTATAATCCTTCCTCATTATTATTTAATCAATGAGAAATATCAAAATCCTAAATCTCTCTTTTCTTCGGAGTCCAAAAATGTTCAAAGTTTTCCTTCTCTCTTTGTTTATGCATACATTCATACCAATAGAGTATGATTGCAGGGGTACATACTTGGCAATCCCCTAACCTCTGAAGCAGCTGACTTGAACAGTAGAATACCATTTGCTCATAGAATGGCTCTCATCTCTGACGAGTTATACAAGGTGCGTGGATTTTTTACAACTCTTATGATTAGAAAAACATTTAATGAGTTATTTAACTTGGTATATATGCACCTACCTTGTCAAAATTAAGAAGTAATATAATTTTGCCTTTCTTCTACCTCGAACAGGGGCTAAAAAGAGATTGCAAAGAAAAGTATTATTTGGACACTGATCCTACCAATTTACTGTGCCAGCAACACCTACAAACCTATAATCAGGTCAGACGTTGTTCGGGTATAAAATATATCATGAGCCTACGATTACAAATTTTAAGTTTTTAATTGAGTTAGTTCCTTACAAGGTATCAAATTTTTGATGATGATCACGAATTCTGAGTTCAAACCTCACGGTCACCCAATTTAACTACTCCCTCCGTCCTAAAACTATCTTCCCAGTTACTATTCATACGGTCAAACTTAAATCACTTTCTTTACCTATTTTCGTTAGTTATTTGATAAAATAATATAGTCTTGTCACCTCTTGTTTTAAAAAACTTTTGGTGTAGTTTTTAAATATATAAATTTTATTTTTAATTTTACACCTACAATCAAATATATTGAATTGAAAATAAAGTCGGTCAAACCTCGTAAACACAAACGGGAAGATAGTTTTAGGACGGAGAGAGTACAGAAAATCGGATGCCACAAAAATTCAATATTTTTTTGTAGTAGGGTGTGTGTGCGCGCGTGCATGCCCACACATATACACACACACATATAACTCCTCCTCCTTCATCACATATTGTCTTTGAACTATTTCCTTTGTTCACCTTGATTCTTCTTATTTGATTTTTTGTAGTCTTAAATTTTTATCACAAAAAAATATACTTCCTCCGTTATCAAAAATACTTCATTTTTCATTTTTCATGGCCAAAATATTAGTGAAATTTGCATTAAATAGGACTAAAACATAATGACTTTCCTAATGTAGGACTTAAACTTTTTTATTCTCTAAATAGGACTTAATAATGACCTAGTGGGAGGAATAATGTCTAATAATGATGGACATTTACTTGAATAATGACTACTTCATAATGACCAAAGGTCCTACATAGAGAAATAAAAACATATAGTCCTATATTGGGAAAGTCATTATGTTTAGTTCTATTTAGGTAAATTTCTCAATATTATATTGGGAACTATATATGAGAACTCAAGATAGACAGAATTGAAGGAGGAGCAGTTAACAATTAAGGTGTATTCCCATGCATGCATTTATTACGTAACAAATAAGGTGCGCATTTGCATGCATGCATTTATTACGTAACGAATAAGGTGCGCATTTGCATGCATGCAGTCGATTGAGGGGATATTTCCTGCCAACATTTTGGAGCCTATTTGCGTGACTACTAGTGATGATGATGATGATGATTTTTCTTCAAGAGAAGCTTCATCTTCATCGTTATTGGGACCACGTATTCCAGTTTTGCCCTCAAGTCAGCATAAAAGGAGTCTCATTGACAAGAACTACAACCAAAAACGACGACGTCTCAAGAATCCTGACTCACTTCCTGGATTGAAATGTCGGGTAATTGTACAAATAAATGGTAAATACATCTAAGGGAAATGTAAGAAAGTCAACATAAAAATATCTTTTCTTTTAAAACACATACTCCCACCGTTTCATTAATAATCCTTCCTCTTTCATTTTTTTCTAATTTACTAAAACACTTTCACTTTCTATTAAAAAACCACTTTTACCCCTATTTTTTATAACCTATCTATTGCATCATATTTTTTCAATAATAGTCAAATTATTACATCTTACTTTTACACATCACATCAGAGACAAAATTAGAAAGTCAATCAAAAATACACTTTCCTTATTTTGGCCAAAAGTCAAAATGGGAATGGTTTGATGGAACGGAGGTAGACCTACCCATTTCATTTTTTGCGTATCTCATAAAGCGTTTTTATCTCGTCTCAAATGTCAAAAAAACTTTTAAAACAACTTCTACCCTCAATAAATGATAAATGTGATAAATTTTAGGCATTTTAGCTGTGGGTAGAATTGTTTTATGAAATGCGCAAAAAATGAAACGGGCAGATCTTTTTGGAATGGATGGAGTAAATAATAAGCTAAGGAGATTTAGAGACAAAGAATATTTGCATAACCATTTAGTCATGCACATACAATACTAAAGAGGGGCACTTGGCCATCATGTAATTATATATGTTGTAGGAAGATTGGAACAAAGTGTCTGAATATTGGGCCAACGACGATCGCTCTCGAGAGGCCCTTCATGTCCGTAAGGTATATACTCCCGCCGTCCCATGAAACCTTTCTCCTTTCTTTTTTTATCCGTCCCATAAAATACTTCTCATTTCTATTAAAAAGTCACTTTTACCCCTTACTTTTTCATACCCTAACTATCACATCATACCTTTTTACTAATAATCTATCCATCAAATCATACTTTTACCCATCACATCAAAGGACATTTTTGGAAATTCAATACCAAAATACACTCCCCTTAAATCCCTCCTAAAAAGCAAAAGTCCCATGTTTCATGGGACAATGGGAGTATAAAAAAATGAATGTTTAATTATATACCATCACTATTTAATTATGATTACCAAATATGCATGCTTGATTCATAAATTAATTGAAGAATTTACCTAAATATCACTAAAACATAATGACTTTTTCTAAATAGCATCATATGTTTTTATTTTCTAATGTAACACTTTTAGTCAATATTCATTAGTCATTATTCAAGTAAATTCTCACCATCACTGGACATTATTCCTCCTTCTAGACATTATTAAGTGTCATTTAAGAAATAAAAAAATTTAAGTCCTACATTAGGAAATTGCTTATGTTTTAGTGCTATTTAGTGCAAATATTTCAAATTAATTTCATGCGTGCAGGGGACGAAGGGAAAATGGGAACAATGTGCATCAAACTTACCCTTCACAAAAATTGTCCAAAACTCCATACCATATCATGAGAGGCTTAGCAGAATGGGTTACAGATCTCTTGTTTATAGGTAATTAATCAATTACTCAAACTTTTCCTACATTATCCATTATTATTTCTTTTTTTTGTTTGTGTTTTATAGATTCTATGTACATAGTACCATAATAATCATGTATAAACTACTCCTTCCATCCCATAAAATCTTTCTCCTTTAGTTTTTTTTCAATTCCCTAATGGTATGTTAGGGAACATGGATTTGGATTTCAAATCCGGATTTAGTTCAAATCCCATGTTTGGGAAACTTAAAAAAATTGAATTTGGATTTAAGTCAAATTTTTTCTCATTCAAAACAAAGCTTAATTTGAAATCCATGCTCCTCCCCTTGTCATTTAAATTTCAAGATTTTAAATTTTGAAATTGAAATGCATGAATTGAAATGAAATGCTAGTTGCCAAACACTACCTAAAACATTTTCACTTTCTATTAAAAAACCACTTTTACCCCTACTTTTTCATACCATATATATCACATCATACTTTTTTACTAATAACCAAACTATCACATCTTACTTTTACCCATCAAATCAGAGGCAAAATTAAAAAGTCAACTAAAATTACACTTTTCTTATTTTTACCCAAAGTCAAAATGGGAAGAGTTTAAAGGAACGGAGAGGAGTATAAAATGGTGAAATATAAATAATGCATGCATGTGCAGTGGTGATCATGACATGGTGGTTCCATATTTGTCAACTCATGCATGGATAAAGTTGTTAAATTATTCTGTGATCGACGATTGGAGGCCATGGATTGTGGAAGGACAAGTTGCAGGGTATGTATGTATGTATGCATGCATGTATGTACGTGTGCATGTATTTATGTATGTGTGTATAATAACTATACTAAATGTAATTTTTGTGTTGCATACTTTGCTTTCTATAGGTACACAACGACATATGCCAATCAAATGACATTTGCAACCGTCAAGGTACCATACATTAATTTTTGTGTGTGTGTGTGTGTTGTCAGTGCGGACACACATTAATACATTATGCATGTGGTAGAAAATATGGACTTAAACTTCGTCCGGTTCGCCTGATCTGATCTAATTCTTTGAAGTTTTGATCTGATATGGTTTGATATTATTTGATCTAATAAGATTTGATCTGATCTGATTTGATCTGCTCTGATTTGATTGGATCTCATATAATCTGATTAAAATTAAAATTACAATTAAAAATTTTATTATTATAGTTATAATAGTTGTTATAATAATAGTAATAGAAATATTAATAATAATAGTAACAATAAAAATAGTAATAATAATACTAATAATAGTAATAATAATAATAGAAATAATAATAATAATAATAATAGAAATATTGATAATAAAATAAATAATAATAATATAAATAATAATCATAATAGTAATTAATAGTAATAATAATATTAATAATAATACTAATAATAATAGTAGTAATAATAATAATAATATAAATAATAATAATAATAATAGTAATAATAATAATAATAGTAATAATTATAATAAAAATATTAATAATAATTATACTCATAATAATAATAATAATAATAGTAATAGTAATCATAATAATAATAATAATAGTAATAATAATAATAGTCATAGTAATAATAATAGAAATAGTAATAATAATATTACTAGTAATAATAGTAATAATAATAAAAGTAGTGATCTGATTCGATCTGATCTGATTGGATCTCATTTGGTCTGATCTGATCTAATTTTAATAAGAATAAGTAATAAGCAGAAAAAGTAAGTTGAATGGAACGCTTCCTCGATCAGCCATATCATGTGTTTGGCAAATAATTGTCAGAACATGAAAAATCAAAATACGAAAAACTTTAGGGAGTTGCCTTTCAAGTTGTCTTTCTTTAGACAAAGTATAATATTTTTATTATTACAATTTTTTATTGACGATATAAATTTATTAAATGATGAATAAAAATATGTACATAAGTAAACAAAAATCATCGTGACTCTAGAATAATAACTTATAATTTCATTTGGCAGTGGAGGGAGTATACAATCTGTATGTGAATTATATTATATTGCTAGGCAATTTATATTACTCCTGTGTAAATTACAAATTATATTTTATAAGTTATAATTTATATAATTTATATTAATAAATTATTATTTATATTATACATATCACATACATAAAGATATGTCTAAAATATAATTTCATGTACAACATCTATTAAGAAGAAACAAACTTGCCAAATATTTTTTAATAAACAAATAATGTAATAGTGGGTTAAAACATCTAACTTAACCAACCATTCAAATCAACTAACAATCAAAAACTACATGCCAAAGTCAATGTGCAATGACAATAAAGTTTGACTTATTTATAAATATGATAGTATATTTTTCTATATTTTTCATGATTTTTAATCTTTTATTAGCCTTAGATTAGAGGGGAATTTATCTAAATAAGACTAAAACATAATGAATTTCTTTATATAAGACCATATGTTTTTATTTCCCAATATAGGATCATTTGTCATTATTCATTAGTCACTATTCAAGTAAATGTCCACTACCATTGAACAATATTCCTCCCACTAAGCATTATTAAGTACTTCTCCGTCCAAGAAAGATTAGGACGTTTTGACTAAAGTGGAAAATTAAGAAATGATTTTTGGCCCTTGACCTTTCCAAAATTCCCTCACAAGCAAAAGTAATAATGGGACACCTCAAATAAATGAATAGTTTGTAATAATATTAAAATAAGAATAAAGTACAATTCCATTAAATGAGTTGTGATAAACAATGATGGTTACATCTCCCACGAGTGTCCTCTCCTACCAGGAAGTAAACAACATCTAAAAATTTGAGTTTTTTTGGGAAATACTTTCCCTCCATAGTTATCCTTTCAAAACCTAAAACCAAAAAAATTTACAGACTTCTATTTAAAGAATTTATTGAATGCCAAACATATTTCTTTTTTTAGCCTTCCTTTCGAGCATGGCAGCATCCCCCCTTATGGGTGACCCCTCCTTGCACACTTTTTCTTCTAATTTCACTCCCTTTTCAGAAGAAGAATCAACTTCTCTTCTGTTAACCATCTTCCTCCTCTAACTGAGGTGCCTTTTTCCAGCTTTATAACTCCTGAAACAGAGATAGAAAACAACAACAACGGTGTGCTACAAAATCAAACAAGAAAAAGGGTTGCTGACTTTTTACTACAACACGTAAGAGATGACAAACTTTAGCATGGTAGCATGAAAAAAGTTGCCAAGGAATTCAGTATATATATCCAGGAAAATAGTAAGAAAAATCTGGTCCATAGCTAAAACTCAATTGGATGTTGGTCAACCCATTGATGTTCAATGCAAGTGGAAAGGAAAGTGTGGGAGAAAAAAGACAGCTATTGACAGAGAAAAGATGGCAAGTGTGCCTTTTAATAAGCAAAAAAACATGTGTGCACTTGGATATGCTATGGAGGTCTCAAAATCAACTATCCATAAATGGCTTCAGTGGAAAGAGATCAAGAGGCATTCAAATGCCATTAAGCTAGTTCTAAGTGAAGCTGGTAAACTTAAAAGACTTAAATTCTGTCTAGACCATGTTGCTGCCCAATCAATCCCCATGAACCCAACCTTTCATGACTTTTATGATCACATTATATTGATGAAAAATGGTTTGAGATCAGCAAAAAGAGCACAACATTTTATGCATTACCAAATGAAGCAGGCCCATATAGGACAGTTCAAAACAAAAGTTTCATACCCAAAATTATGTTTCTAGCAGCTGTTTGTAGGCCAAGGTGTAGGGGGATGGGGAACTTATGTGGGATGGAAAATTAGGCATATTCCCTTTCACTTACTCAGCAGAAACTCAAAGGTCCAGTAAAAATAAACCTGCCGGGACTATAGAAGTGAAACCTACCCCTATCATCACTAGAGAGGTCATGTTGAAGATGTTACTTACTAAGGTACTGCCTGCAATCAAGCAAAAATGTTCAACTTCATCCAGGAATATTATTATCCAACGAGATAATGCCAAACCTCATGTGGATGGCAATGACCATGAATTTGTTCAAACATCTGACGAAAGAGAGTGGAACATTAAACTTAAATTCCAACCTCCCAATAACCTAGATCTTAATGTACTTGATCTTGGATTCTTTAGGCCCATTGACTCACTGCAGGACCAATCAGCTCTCAGGTCATTGGAAGACTTGATTAATTTGTAACAACAACATTTGAAGAACTATCACATGAAAAACTGAATAATGTGTTCTTAACCATACAAGGGGTAATAGGTCAGGTTCTAGACACCAATGGAGGGAACCAGTTCAAAATCCCTCACATTGGGAAAACCAAGCTGGCTAGAGAAGGTAGACTGCCATAGAACTTAGGGGTCAGTATTGAAGTGTTTCAGAAGGCACAAACATTCTTACACGAAAGGATGTGAGTACTCTTCATTTTGGAACTTTTTGTTGTATATGCAAACATGGTCAGGGGAAAGCACAATGCCTACATGTACTTCTAAGTGACAACCTTTTTGTAACTTTTTTGTAAGCCAAAGAAGAAGAAGTGTAGTATCTAACTAACATAGACTTAAGGCTTGTATCTGTTTTATCAGGTTAAAGTATGACCAGCATAGCATCTGTTTTATCAAATTTAAGTATGACAAGTATATCATCTGTTTTATCAAATTGAAGTATGACAAGTATAGCATCTGTTTTATCAAATTAAAGTATGAACCCTATAGCATCTGTTTTATCAAATTGAAGTATGACAAGTATAGCATCTGTTTTATCAAATTGAAATATGACCAGTATAGCATCTGTTTTATGAAATTAAAGTATGAAAACTATAGCATCTATTTTATCAAATTGAAGTATGACAAGTATAGCATATGTTTTCTCAAATTCAAGCTCACATATCAATCACTTAGTTGTTTAGCAAAACAAAGGGCAGACTAGACGCACGCATGGACCAATTGAGTATTGTAAGTCTCCAACCTATACGGGGTGACATTACAATATAGCTTTAAACATAATTTAAATAAAGCTCACATATATCCAATGAGTAAGAAAATTATAGTTTCGCATTATAAGTTTGCCAATGAACACGGAAGGGGGACATGCAAATAGTAATTAAGTGTAATGTTAATTAAAGGAGTAGAGAGACAAAACTCTGTCTGAAGCATCGTCCCAGAGCCTCATCTCCAAGGGGCTGAGCAAAAAAAATTTCAGCATCAGACATCTCTAGGATGTGCTCAGACGTAACAGATTCTTCATCCTCCCTGTCGTCTTCCTTTGATCTTTCTTCATCTTCCGATGGGAAATGGTCTCCCCCAAGAAACTTTTTACAGTACCAGCCACCAGGTTGGATCTGTATCTGAAATTCCAGATCCGCTATCTCCAGAGTCGTATTTAGGGAATTCATGCTTCAGAGAAGTTCTGGTTCGCGTAGGATGAGGCGTTTCCTCATCCGTATCGCTTAATAGCTTGATGCTTGGCATCGTAGGGTCACGAATCACCATCACTGGTGTTTTGAATCCCAACTACGAGAGGAAGTGGCAGCGACAAGGAAGGGGAATGGGTAGATAGATAGAGCTGGAACTATTTTGATAAGGACGGATGAGATGGACAGCCTGGGTTGGGAAAAGTGAGGTTGGGTGGGAATAATTTAGAGTAAAGGGTAAATGGGTCTTTTTAGGCAAATGAGAATAAAGACTTTAAGGATGCAATTTTTTTGAAACGAGAAGGACTTAATGTGACAGAGGGGGTACTATTTAGGGAATAAAAAAATTTAAGTCCTACATTGAGAAATGACTTATGTTTTAGCCCTATTTAGTGCAAATTTCATTAGACCATATGCCCAATGCAATATATGTATGTGTTTGTGTGTGAGGACTATATATGATTTTACTTTTATTCATTAGTAATTTGAATTCTTTACTTTATGTGCACATGCATACAGGGAGGAGGTCATACTGCACCCGAGTTTCGTCCTTCCGAATGTTTCGAGATGTTCAAAAGATGGATATTTAATAAACAATTGTAATCAATTAGGGACTAAGGACCACCGTACCACTTAATCTAAACCACATTCAAATATTGAATCCATTCGATTATATGGTTCAACTCAAAAACTTATAAACTTGTTATTTTCTCTCTAAAGTTTCAATATTTCCAATGTTTGACTCAAACATTTCCTCGAGTGAATAATTAAGTCATTTTGAATCTAACGGATTAACAATCAGCAAACAGACTCTCATCTCACATGAAGCGAATATTTGACAAGCAGGGACGAAGAGAGTATTATCATTATTACTATTTGATGATGTAATGTAGATTATAGTGAACAAATTATAATTAAGTTTTTTCGAGAGTATCTTTTCGGTTTTTACCTCGATGTATTTGTTGAATCGATATGACTAATACTTGCTTATCTTCACCTAATCTGAATGATTTTGATCGAATTAAAATAAGTTCTAATCTGATCTAGTCTAATCTAATTTAATTTGATCCTAATGTAATTATGTTTAAAAATGTTTCTAATATGATTTGAAGTAATTTAAATAATAAAAATCAATATATGTAATGAGAATAAGTTGAAGTGGAAAAGGCTCTAAGATTTAGGATCCCACTAGGGTTAGCTAGGGTTTTATCTCTCCTCTAAATAGTGATATAAATAGTGATGTAACCATTTAGAATTATTATCAATCAATAAGTAAGAATTATTTTAAACCCTAAACATCATTTCTTATCCTCTCTCTCTCTGATATCTCTCTCTCTCGACTTTGTTCTTCTCCTCCTCCCGTCTTTCCATCTCAATCTCTCAATCTTTTAGGAGCTTTAAGGTGTTCGAAATCCTTGTTTATCCGGTACGTTTATCGTAGGTGTAGTAATAAAATTTACTAAGTATATCTAATATTACCCTCCCCGTTCTTAAATATTCTTGTAGTAAAGGTAAATTAAACATTTGCAATGATTTATTTCTCTATTTCTCTGGAACGGAGGCTACGTTTGGTACGGTACACGAAATTGGAATTGAAGTTTTAGATAATTGAATGGCATAGAATTGAATTTTAATTCAATTACTAATCATTTGTTTAATATAATTAAAGAATTGATATATAATCATATAATAATTTCAAATTCTTTGTTTGGTAACAAAAATTTATATATAGAATCGATATAGAATCGTATTTTCAGAATTAATCGTAGTATAGTAAATCAAACCTCATTAATAAAAACCTTAGCTAACAAGTACAATAGATTTAAAAAACCAGAATCTAACAAATATGATAACAAATCACCTAAATCTACAACACAACAAGAGGGTGAGAAATTTAGAATTTTAACAAAGACTATTTAATTTATCTAATCTAATAATCAAATAATATGAGCTCGAATGAAGGACAATTGCGCGCAGTTGTCGATTCATCGCAAAAAGAGACAATTGTAGCCAGAAGAGAGAAGGGAGAGAGAGTTGAGAGAAAGACTTGGTTTGGAACTTGGCTTTCAGCTATTGATCATTTTTTATTTTTGTCAATTGTTCAGAATGACCAATGAGTTTAGCTGGTTTGACTAACTTCGTGTGTTGACATGCAAAACTTTTAATTTTATAATCTTTCACTTTAAGTTTTAAATTATAGATCTTTAATTTTAAACTTTATAATCTTTCACTCAACACCCGGTTAGAGGGTACCATTTTGTGAAAGTAGTATAAAGTTTTACATCATTTTAACATCGTTTTAATGATCGTTAGTCAGAGGAACTAAACTGAATATTATTCTCAATTAACGACTACCATTTTGGGAAGTAGTTAATTTTGGAGACTAATTTGGAAAAACACATAGTTCTTGAGTACGAATTTAGGAATTTACTCAAATAACAATCATACAACATCAAAAACTTTAAAATTTGAAATTCGAATAATAGAATGAAGAGGAAAAAAATTAAGGATTCGATTTTCCATAACAGAAACTTTAAGGAAACCATAGCTAGGGTTATAAATATGATTTTTGGTTTAGCAGGGATATACGAGGAGCTTTTACAGAAGATGAAGGCGGAGGAAAAATCGATAGAGCTCAGCCCTGACCACAATCTCGGATACCTAGCCCTGGCCTGGATCTCAAATCGGAAGAGATGAAGGACAAGAGTGTCGTGACTTGTAGGGGTTTGAAAATTGGAAAGGGACTCGGATCGAAAGAGATGAAGGACGAGAGTAAATGAGTGAATGACGAGAGTTAAGTTTTAATTGGACTAGGAATTCAAATGACATGGATCTTGGTATATATGAAGTTATAATTGGGTTAGTTATTAATTAGAGGAATTTAGATCAAATACAAATCCAAATTCCCTAGGTTGTCAAACATGATATTTGTTCCATATCTAGAATTTCAAATCCAAATCTGTATTTCCAAACATGCCATATTGGGCGATGTTTAGGAATTTGAATTTCAAATAAAGATTTAGCTCCAATTTTATATTGAAAATTTTAGATGTTGATATGAATCAAATTTCTTTAATTTATAAGAGAGTTCAATTATAAATTGGGGGCCATTTGAGTGACATGAACCTCCCATGTCATCCTATGACATGGCCTCGATTAGGACATCTACGATTCTCCGTTCGAAAAATTAATGGTTCCTACCCTCTCTAACCCCTCCCGGTAAACCCACTACCCTCGGCCCGGCCTGAACATACTCCCGCACCTCTGTCAATTGCATGCCACGAGATTTAGTTGACTTTGGAGTCATTTGACTGAAGCTATGCTATGCTGGTCGGGACTTATCGGGGGATTTATCGGGGGGTCAAGGAGTAAAAATCATCAATTTTTCAAATGAAATATTGCATGAACCTCGAGTTATCTCATGACATTGAATTTTAATGTTTTAAATTTGAAAATTGCTAGGGGTACACCTTTGTTGTACCCCATTTGTCCCCGATCCTCTCCTAATCCACATAATTGGGCAAGAAAATCAAAAAATAAATAAATAAATAAAAATTAATTAAAAATGAGTGGTGGAGAAGGAAGTAGTGTACAAATAGAATACATTTTAGTGTACCCTTATCATTGATCTTTAAATTTTGAAATCAAAATAAAATGCACTTTCAAAGGCTACCTTTATCTTTGGGTGCGGAAATTGTCGTTTTGAATTGTGGAACTTTTAATTTCATTATTGTCAACAAATTGGAAGCGAAAAATAAATAAATTACAGTACAATGATTGAACCATTGGTCCAGAGTTGAATTTTGTTCACTTCTTTGGTGCCAATCTAGACTTGATTTTCCCCACCTCTTTCGTCCCAACTCGGAAAGCCTTAGTCAACACTTCATCGGGGACGGCGGGCGCCGCCGCGAACAGGGCGGCGGCGATCGACTGCGTTCCCGGAAACTGGCTGTTGAAGGCGGCGATCACGGCGGCCGGGACCTTCCCGGGATTCCTCTGGAAATGGACAAGCCCCCTGGGGAACACAAAGACCTCGCCCTTGGTGAGGCGCTTCGTGAACAATTCATTCGCGGTGGTGATGAATCCCACCTCCAGCTCTCCTTCGAGAACGAAGATGATCTCGGTGGCGCGTGGGTGCGTGTGCGGCGGGTTCAACCCGCCCGGCGCGTAGTCCGCCCGGGACATGGAGATCCCGAGGGTGTTCAGACCGGGGATTTTCTCCACGTTCGCCGGTGTCACGATTGAACCCACCGTGTTATTGGTTGCTCCGCCCTTGGCCAACGCCTTTGACGAGAAATCCGCCGCCGTGAAGTTCTTCTTGCACGCGAATCCGTTCACCTTCACATCTATACCCACATCCAATAATGAAGAAACAATTATTATATCCATTTTAAAAAATGGATACATATTATATTATTCTAAAATCATGATAACTTTTATTTATTTTTGTTGTTTTATAGAATTTTTTACTTAAAAAATTTAAAAGTTTGTCTTTTATTTTTACACTCAATTTTAAAAAAATTTAATAAAAAAATTTGAAATTTTGTCTAGTTTTGATATCCATATAGTTTATTTAGAGACGAATAAATAGAGTATTTATCTATCCCAAATTTCATTGAATTTTAATGTCATACGATAATGACAGGAACCCACCACCACGCGTGTTCTACATATGACAATCATGATTCATATATATACACAGACGACTATAGCATCTATTTATGTATAAATCATTTGCAATTGTCATCCGTAAAACCACTCATGCTAGGTTTCTAGCATTTTTGAATGTCATATTATGAAATAAGGAGTAAGACTTTTAGGGTGATTCATTTTCTTAAAGAACAGTCCCCAGAGAATGATGAAATGCTTGGTCAAAATAGACTAAAACACCCTTCAAATAAAATATTTGGGTCTAAAACTCATTCCAAAAGAGCTATAAAAAAGACTTTAACTTCAAACAAGTGGTGATGAAATGGGATATATATATATATATATATACACACACACACACACATATATATAACCTGAGGTGAGATCGGCAACACAAAGATCTTGGAGCATATCAGGATCAGAGGCCGAAGCTATTCCAAGAATCATGAAAGCAACAACTGCTGCTGCTATCATCTTCCCTAAACAAGCCATTCATATAAAGGTAGATAGATATATGTATATATATTGATATATTTGTTCTTGATCAAGTTCCTGTATGTATATATGAAATGTAGGAAGAGAGAAGAGTCTCTAATATAATGTAGGGAGTATTTGGGAAAAAGGAAGAAGATGAAGAGAGGTATTGTGGTAGAGGGTGGAAAGTGGTTGGGCAGTGTATTTATATATAGGTGTGTGTGGGGGCAGGTAAGATGCCATCTAAAGGGAGAAAAATGGATGGACAATGCTACATTGATAATTTTTATTTATTTAAACAAAAATGTTGTGCATTAAAAGTGTAACCCATATGTACAACACCCCTTCCATTATCACATATTTTAGCATGTAAAATAAAAAAGAAATAAATAAATAAAAATTAGTGATAATGTATAGATTTAAAAAATAAAATTTACATATAAAAAACTACATGAAAAGTTCTTTGAAATAAAAAGTGTCAAGAATATTTTATTTTATCAAATAACCAATGAAGACGTATAAATAAACAAAAGTTCTCGCGACTGTTGAAAAAGCAAATGTGAGATATATTTTGGGACAGAGAGAGTATTTTATTTTATTTATCTAGTTGAAAATTTTCAAAATTTTATTTCATTATACTAATATGTTATGTAAATTGAGAATAATTGAATCTCACGGTTTATCAATTTTGATTCAAAAAAGTCAAACTGTACAAGTAAATTGAGACAGAGATAATAGTATCTTTGTCGTTTATTTTATCCGTGAAATATACTTCGTATGTAATGTTTAAAATTAGTGCGATTATAATTTATCATAAAAAAGGATGAACCCCCATCCCCAAACGCTTCTCATCACCGCCAGATAATTAGCCGAGAAAAGATAAATTGAGCTATAATCTTAATTAGTTGTCGTAGGGGCGAGGTTTCGCGTCTGGTACTTGTAGATGTTTCATGCTTTGCATAGTTGTCTGGTACTTGTAGATGTTTCATGCTTTGCATAGTTGTTTTCTGTTGCAACTATCAAGTTTCGTACTCGATCAAGATCTCTCCTTTATAGTAGTCTTATACAAACCGCTAAACTATACCTTGCCGGCATTATAGATTTATCCAAAATGGATATGGTGGAGATGCTTTAGAGGTTGTTTGATTTATTAATCAATTTTTGGTGGGAAAGCTACCAAGCATGAAGAAAGGCCTTATCTTAAACCCTAAGTAAAGCCACCACAATGAGCCCTTGTGAAGGTAATGAGAGTGTAATTCAACTCAAAGTTTGAGTTGACAGTTGATTGCTTAAAAGGAATTGTGAATGTCATTTGTTTTTAAGCATGTTTTTGAAAAAAGGTTTTTGTATACATCCCATTCTTTAAAAGAGAAAGTGCCGCGAATGAATTAAAACTTACAATCTCTAACCAAATACTTCCCTCCTATAATGATCTTCCCAGTTCGCAAAACAAAGAAAAATCCCAAGTTTTTTCAATCTATTTTATTTAAATATTGGTATAGAAATAAAAAATAAAACATACATATTTAAAAACTACATCAAAAGTTCAACAAAACAAGTAGTGACAAAAATATTTTATTTTATCATATAGGCCATGAAAAAACACAAATAAATATAAATTCCCGTGAACTTGGAATAGTGCTTTGGGAAAATCATTATAGGACGGAGGGAGTGAAATTTATCAAGTCCAAAAGAAATACAAGTATTTATTTGGGCTCAACTCCAAAATTGCTATCTATCATAAGTTATGAGCAAGCAACATGACAAATTCTTCCATGTTCCTAAGATTTAAACTTATTTTATGGACCTTAGTATATAAATATCATGAATGAATTGAGCTCTTTAAAACAATACTCGTATAAGATTCTCATATCGACCCATATAAAGTATAAGAAGATCCATATTTTACCTGTGAACCTTATAATCATGAAATCACAACTCTTTCAAATGAGACTAGGGTGTTCATTCGGTAAAACCGTACCGAACCGAACCGAAATTTCGGTAAACCGAAAATTCGGTAATATTATATTCGTACCGAATACCGAACCGTATTCAATCGGTTCGGTACGGTTAATACCGAAATTATTTCGGTTCGGTATTCGGTAATACCAAAAAAACCAAAAATTTCATTTTTTTTTCATTTATACTTCACTTTTGTTTTTATTTTCAATTTGTACCACAAGCAATCTCATTCAACATTTAAAGAAATTAGAAATACTTTATTTTTTTTTAGCTATAGTTAGTCATAAATTACTTAGTTTTTCATATTATTAAAAAATTATCAAAGCACATGATTTTGATCTTATAAAAAAACCGAAATATAAAAAAGAAATAAAAAATGTTTAAAAGATCTTACCTTTAGTCATCGATAATTTATTGCCTACGAAGTGAGGTCAATGTATTGATCATTTAGAATAAATGAAACAAAAAAATTGAAGAAGAAAGAGTCAAATAGTAAGCATGAGAAAATTTAGGTAGATATGAAGTATTTTTTTAAAAATTGAAATTGTGAATAAAAGGAACGATAAAATAAGGTAGACCACTATATGAATTGCTAGGACTCAAGGTTAGAATTCAAACTTCAAAATATTTAAAATAATAAAATGAAGTAATAATTTGGTATTCGGTAAAAACCGAATTACCGAATTATTGGTGCAAACCGAACCGAAAACCGAATTTTAGCAAAAAGAAAAACCGAATACCAAACCAAATTATTCAGTTTGGTTTCGGTACGTACCGAATTTTTTGGTTTCGGGACGGTTCGGTCGGTTTACCGAATTGTGCATACCCCTAAATGAGACGACTTTGAATTCTTTTAAAATTTTTATATGGTGAGTACTCTTGTAAAATTTTAATAACTCTCAATTTTGATGGGGATTTCCTAAAAAAATAGTCGACTTAAAAGATAAGAATATCATAAAAATTATTACATAAAAAATTATTGTAGGAAAAATTCCACTTTTTTTCTAAAAAAAAAAATCTCCACTCTATATGTGCAATAATTTTTCAATCCATCTCTAGTATTGGGCCGGTTTGCATAAGGAGATTGGGGGGCCTCACTTTACATTTTACATATAGATGAAGCCCACTATGATTTCGCCTTGTTAGCTCCTCCGGCCTTCTTCCAGTTCGACTGTTCACCTTTCTTCTTCACGCAGCCAATCTAAGGTATTTCTCTTTTCTGCGTTCCATCTCTCAGGCTTCTCTGCTTCAACTCCCAACCCTATCAACAATTCTCGAACAGAAATTGTTCTCTCGTTTCAATCCTCCAGATAGAAACACAATTAGGAGATGACATTTTGTTTTTATCACTAATGAGTTCTTAGATTTTGGGAATTCCAAATCTGATCAGATCAGGGCTATATTTTCGAAATTGCGTATGAAATACCGCTCCGGGATCTTCTTTTCGCGTCTTTGGTATGTGTATTAGCTTCGTTATCATTACTAGTAATTGCTTTTCAATTAGCCCAATTTTGGGACGGAGCTAATTGAAAAGCAATTGCTAATTGTGTTTCTATCTGGATGTATATAGCCTAATCGCGTATTTTATATCACACTGATTAGGCTATATACATGTATTTATGTATTTACACACACACTTCATCCATCCCAAAATAAGTGTGTATATGAGACTTAGTGAAGTTTAATAAAAGTATTGAAAAGTAAGAAATGAATGATTGAAATTTAAATACACGAGAAGAATGATTGTGAGTATGTATTTTCCAACTACTCCCTTTGTCCCAAAAATGATATATTGTCCCAGATGATGGTTTTTGACTGAATCTATTTTGAGTTCAATTTATATGAAATTTGAGGTAAAAATAATAATTTATACAGAGTATTTTCTAACTACGATCAAAATTTCTAGAAACAAGATTATATCATTTTATCAAGCGAGTAGTGAAAATAAGAAAAGTATTTAAAGTTTGACCCTGAAATAATAGACTGAAAACCTTTCTGGGACGGAGGGAGTATGTGTTTGTCACTTCGTCATTACAGAGTATTTTCTAACTACGATCAAAATTTCTAGAAACAAGATTATATCATTTTATCAAGCGAGTAGTGAAAATAAGAAAAGTATTTAAAGTTTGACCCTGGAATAATAGACTGAAAACCTTTCTGGGACGGAGGGAGTATGTGTTTGTCACTTCGTCATTAGAGTTTGACTCTGGAATAATAAACTAAAAACCTTTCTGAGATGGCGGGAGTATGTGTTCTTCACTTCGTCATTTAAAACAATACTAGGAGGACTCTATGAAATTCAAATCATGCATTACATAAATATTCTTGTATTTTGTTTTTCTATATCGACTACGGTATCACCTTAGGAAATCTGCAAGATGAAACAAATGAAAATTTAATGCAGAGAAGCTCAATTGGTGTTTCACCCCTCCATTTTATGGGTTGGGATAAATTTTAAAAAGCTTGCATTTTTTGTTTTGTCCTCTTTACATTTTTTTGATAACAATAGAACACTAGTAAAAATTAAAGCACACATATGATCTCCCTTTCTCTTAGAAAGGTTACTTCTATCCTTTCTTCTTTTCTTTTTTCGGTAAAAATGGCAGAGCGAACAGCATTGTGTGTGCGTGTAGGGCATGCTGGAAACTGAAAATTTGGGGAAATATGGGTTAGTATCGAGTTATATATTAAGCCCTGCGTCCAGTTTTTTTTATAACCCTAGGGGCATGTTTTTATCGTATGTTTGTAGTATCCTTTGAATGATTACACATCGGTGCAGAAGAGCTGCCTATGGATATCTCCTACATCTTTTCAAATAGTTTTGTAGTTACTTTATGATTGAATGGCCTTCACGCCTATGCATTCTTTTTGCAAAAGCGGAGAAAGTAGGTCCCCTAAGGGTCCTAGACTCCTGCATAGAAAACAGACTTTGCGAGCTTCACCTTTTCCTTGTTGATGATATTTTATAATCTACCACATACTCATTCCTAGAGGCCCTGAGGTGGAAGTGAATGCACAATGAGTCTTTGCATTTTTCTTACAGCCAAAAAATGTCACAAAGTCATTTAAAACACTATTTTGTGTTCTAATCTTGGACTTCTGGGTCTGCAACAACACCTATAGTTTAAAAGCATGATAAATTATGCAGCAATGCCTTTTCTTCTTCTTCTTCTTCTTCTTCTTCTCTTTTCCCGTTATCTTATTTTTTTAATTTTACTTTTACGTTATCATGTTTAATGATAGCATGCTTGACATGTGCATTTTCTATTTTGTTCAGATATTCATAGCATATCCATTGACAAAGCATGTTCTTTTGAGGTGTTCATTCGATTTGAAAGGAGAATTTATACAATAAACAAAAAAAGTACAGAGTATTCAGTTTGTGAGGGTCTGAATATGAATGCTGTTAGTCCCCTTGGCTATTTTGGGTAGCGTTTTGGATATTTTTTTTGTTGGTGCAGATGAAGCCTAAAAATGCTAAAGCCAATCACTGCAATTGAATAACATTTTCAAAAATGTTTAGGCTAACGCTGTTAGTTCCCTTGGCTAGTGTTCGATTTGATATGTATGCAGTTTTTTTCCTTCAAAGTTGAAAAATTATTATGTACGAATATTTGTTTATCATCCAGCTTAAGACATTTGCTGTGGGATATTTGTGATTTGGCTACCGTGTTCTAATTTTGCTATGTTAACCGTGCATTTACGTTCTTAACCACCAGTATTGTGCATCTTTTCCAGCAAGAGTAATGGCTGGGAAGGTAGTAAAATCTGTAGCAAAAGCAGTTTCAGAGTACCAATACCCATTGCAAGAGAAGATGGCAAAGTACAAGAATGAACTGTCAAAGGGTGTTTGGGGCTATTGGGAACTTGGAGCATGGAAACCGCTAGGCATCAGTGCTCGTAGGCGGGCCCGGCTTCGCAAAGAAGTTCTACTTGCCGGGCAGGACTGGGCTTTTGATCCAGAAAGGAAGGAAATGAGAAAGAAGCAGAAAGGGCACAAATGTGACAGAATTGCAGCGGAGAAGCGAGCAAAGACAGCTGAACTAATGCAGCAAATGCCCAAAATGTTGGCAGATTATAGGAAAAGAAGATGGGAGAGGAAGATGAAAGCCGATGAGGATGCCGCTAGGAAAGCCCTGCAAGAGTAAGCTCACACCATTTTCTAGTCTAGTCGGGACGAGCGGATGAGTAACGATTATGAAACCAAATAATGTTTTGAGTCGCGCTAGGGTAACCCCAACATTTTGGGGTTACCGTGGCCCCAAACTTTGCACAGACAGTAAATGTCCATGCAACACCGACAGTTATTGTCAGTCTGAAGCTTGGGGGTCATGGTAACCCTAAAATGTAGGGGTTACCCTAGCTTTATTCTGATGTTTTTGCATCATCCACTTTGTTTTCTGTTATTTTATGCCCTCACTGACATGGTTGAGGATGATTTGCCTACTGTGTACTGAAATTCTTGAGCCCTTGGGTTCAAGGAATGCCCTATTAATATAGGGAATGTCAGATTCTTGGAGACACTGGATCACTGAATCAGTGGAATGTGTTCAAAATGTCCTATTATTCACATGTTGATTAAAAGCACCCCTATTTTTTTTACCAGCTTCTCATTTACTACTATTAGTAAGGTCGAAAAATATCATATTAATTTCATTTTCTATTTTTTTAGTCATTTGCTAAAATAAGATAATCATATCGTTTTTATTTTGTATAAATATTGAGCTAGTTACTAAATACTCATGTACAAACATTTTATATTTGAATTTTATGTCATTATTTAGAAAATCAACTAAAAATGGTTTCGTTCAAATATTGAAAATTGAAATAGAAAGATTAAATATGGATGGAGTGAGTTGGAGACTCATAGTTAATATCTTTTGTGAAAGTTTGATTTTGACTTTAAAATGGATATTTACATGATTTTAAATTTAAGAAAAATACAATAGGGAGGAATAATCAGTTTCTTTTGTATGGTGGTCTAGGATATGAATTTTTGTTTTTCAGCCTTTTTGGTGAAATAACGTTAGTTATTTTTTAATTCTATGGAAAATTAATTGGAATTGCTCAAATTCATTTGGTACAACACCCTGCCGCTTGGTACGCAAAGTTTAGGTTATGAAATTAGAATAAGAGACTTTAATTTTTATTCTGTTGTTTGACAACATAAATATACGTAAATTTGGAATAAAATTCTAATTCCAAATTTTTTTTCATATCAATTCCAAAAGTATGTGGATATGGTGGTGCAAAAATATATAGATGTGGGTTTAGAATTATAATACGGAGTATAATTTTACATCGATTCTATATATACTATTTTGTATTATTAAACAAAGGATTTGAAAATAGAATGCAATTCTATATCGATTTTATAACAATACAAAACAACAGATTTTAAATTAAACTAAAATTAATTCTATGTATTTCAGTTTTATAAAATTTTAATTTCTATTCAATTCTAATTACATGTATCAAATGGGGCTAAATATATTTCTTCATTAGCATTTATTTGAAGACATGAAGTACCCAGATTCCTGGAGTACTACATGAACGTGGACATGCATAGTTCCATTGCTACTAGGCAATGGTGTCACTAAACTCTCCACCCCAACTTCTCTTGTGTGCCCACCAAATGTGTGGTCATTAGGCAATTGCCTAATGACGGGAGACATGAGGAGTTAAGGAGGTAAGATTCAATAATTTTGTAAACAGAATATTCTAAAAAGTTAGACACCGTTGCCCACTTGTACAGTGGTAATAGACTCAGGCTGACAGATAAAAAATTTTGAATCTTTTAATAAGATGAAAATATTATAATTGAGATCATGTAAAAGACAACTTTAGTTATGCTTCATCTCTTCAAAAAAGTTCGTCACAATTTGATTTTTTTGGTCAAATTATGTTGCATGCAAACTACAAATTATGAAAATATATATTTTTAGTTAAGTTGGATTCATTTCAAAATATATTTTTAATATATTTGATTTGACTATTTGAGTCATACAAGAGGGACTCAAGTTGCACCTCACTTTTAATCTTAATGCCTTTACAGAATACAGACATTGTATTTTGTGTCTGTAATGTGGTGTAGTTTGGTGTTCCTCAAGATTTTTTCATCAAATTTTTATAGTATTTAACTGTGTAAAATTATACTATATATTTTTTAACAGTACTATCTCTCTTCTCGATAACTTGTGTTTATTTATGTTATTTCATTGATTATTTGATAAAATAAAATATTCTTGTCACCTCTCTTTTCGAGAACTTTTGATATATTTTTTAACATGTAATTTTTATTTTCTTATGGATGTACCAATACTTAAATAAAATAATTTGAAAAATCATAAAATTTGATCTCCTAATTTCTATTTTGTTATCAAAATAGCAATATTTAATTTTGGAGCAAAGAATCAAAAATTGACCAATTAGAATAGGAGGAACAAGTTGTAAATTCCTTTTTTTTCACAGCGGGAATCGCCCCATTGTCAGCTCCGGCGACGACTCGCCGTTTGCATATACGCTCTTTCAGGAACAAATTTATCCCTTAATCCTGTTCTCAAGCTCAAATTCATAATTTTTTTTCTTCTGATCAGAATTGTTTGGTAGTAATTTTGGATCTTTATCGCCAACTGTTCGGTAAATTGCCTCAGTGAGCCTGCCATTGGTTTCGATCACACTTTGAGATTTTTGAGTCAGCCAGTGACCAGAGAGTGTTTGTGTTTCTAATAATGAAGAGCTCTTGGCATCGGAAAGAGCTGCCCTTTCTCATTCTCTATGCTCTGGTTTTCTATGCAATCACCATCCGACGCGCACTCCAGCTCTCCCATGGTACACGAATTGTGTGTGAATGGAAATGTGATTTTCATTTTCCCTTTTATGTTCTTTAGATGAACTGAATGGGTTGATTTGCAATTGCAGATCATTACACCCAGCTTCATGGATTGCGCCACAGTGGGATCATCAGTAGATTAAATGTAATTTATTATATGTTGAACCCTTTATGCATCGTTTGTTTCAAATTTTATTGAATGCAGGGGAGGGATTCATCTCATTTGGTTGGGAAAATGGAGGGGATGGTAGGTACCCGTTTTTCTTTCTCCTCGAATTAATGTCATTTTATGGTATTCACATTATCCCCTTACCTTTGTAAACCTTAACAGTTAAAAATTGAAGTTGGACAATTAACTGGTGAAGAGGTATAGCTACTTATTGTTTGATACACACACAATTATGTATACATATAGTTATTGGCTAATTTGCATAGAGACATGGATGGGTAGTCATACAGGGATGGGAATGAGGACACCAATTTTTCGTGCAACATGGGTTATGGGTAGCTTAGATATGACTTGAGGAGCAATCGAGGTAGACCAAAAAAGAGTTTCAGTGGGGTGATTAGACAGGACTTGCGCTGTGTGCAACTCACCGAGGACATGACCTTAGATTAAAGTTGTAGAGTAAACCTAGACATGAGCGGTTCCCTTTGCTCTGGTCCCCAGAACTAGTTAGATACATGCATATAGTCAGGTCACTCAGGTGCCTTTGTCTTTTCTTTATCCTTTCCCCATAGAACTGTTTTAAATATATGCTTGGTGCGCTCTTTTGTGCTTCTTGTGCACGAACCTAGGGTCTTTCAGAAACAATCTATATTTTTTAGATAGGGGTAAGGTTGCATACCCCCCCAGACCCCATTCATGGTATTTTAATGGATCCTTGTTATGTGTGTGTAATAATGAATCAAGGCAGGTAATTGAGCTTCACTTTTCGCTGAAAAAAAAACAAAATGAAAATTGAGCTGACATGTTCGTTTTATTGTATCAGGATTTGCACACCAATCAATGACATAGCTTCATACAACAAGCAACCTAGTAAAATCCCAAAAAAGTTGGGCTTGATACAGCTTCCTATTTTTATAGTTTTATCATATGTTGCTTTATACTACAAAACCCATCCATTACCAATGGAGCTAACATAGTGATCGCTGACAATGTTTTAGCTTTTGACCACTAATGGACTAAATACAAATACAAATAATAGGAAAGCCCGTCATTGTTGTCAAGTTAAAATTAGCTCCCCTCCCCTCCGGATCCAGATAAGAAATACTCCGTATTAAAATGCCTCCTTTCCTTTGAACCAGACATAGCTTTAACTTAGCTGCATAAATATCCTTTCCAACGAGATTTGCTTTTAGGTGTTGTTCCAATACTTAGATGCTAAAAAATGGTGCAAACAGCATTCATTGACATCTTGAGGTAATGTTAATTGAATTCACATAGCTTAGATGTGATAGTTTGAGATGCTATTGACAATGATTACTGTGAGATTCTTTGTAACTTGTCTATTGTGAAAGGAGGCTTCAAAACATGTTATCACATGGTATATATGCAGCTTGTATTTGTAATTTTGATTAAATTTGAGTGAGATAATACCTTTTTGATATTGAATGGATTTTCTTACTTCACTGATTCTCTTGCTAGGATGCTTCTGATGCACAATGGAGGAACTTTCGGGGGAACTTACCAATTCTTACATTGGTTTTCGTAGTATTTACTGTAGTAGCTACTGTATTTAGATCATATGGTCTAAAAGCAAAGGGGATGTCCATTATCTGGCTTTTCATTTCAATGGCTTACTTATCATATCTCCATGGTGCCTGGTACGTGCTTCACTAATGCTAATCTTTCTTGAACATGATATGTTGGATGCTCTTTGCTGGATTTTTATTATATTTTAATCATTAATTCATTTTTTAAAATGTTAATTGCAGCATCGTGTATGTCTTGTTGATTGCTTCAACCAATTATTTTATAGTAAAGGTGAGTATCATGCACTTTTTGGTTGCTTTATTTCTTTGTTTAGGTTTTGCATGTTTTGTGAGTATATTGTAATTTTTGAAAGAGAGTAGGGTTCCAACAAGGATTCTAGCTTTTTAGTTCATCGGTTGTAGCAATAATTTGATAGTCTATGCATCATGATTATTATTTTATTTTGTAAAATCTTAAGCTGAGACTAAAGAGTTCAATAATAACATAAAAATCATCCCGTTTTAATTAATATTTGTTTTGTAGATATGCGGAAGGACAAAATATGCTTTTGTGTTGTGGATATATAATCTCTCCTTTCTTGTATGTAACCGAGTGTATGAGGGATATCCATTCTCCATTTTTGGGTGAGATATTTTTCTGATACAAACTCTATGTTCCATAAAATATATTACTCCTTCCCTCCAGCAGAAAGCTTCACTTTATGGGTTTACAATATTTGATTGAATTTATTTTTAATTCAATAGGTGTAAAATTTAAAAGTAAAATTTATATATTTAAAGACTACATTAAAAGTTCTACAAACAAGATGTGGCTTGACTTGTATTTTGAGAAATGATCAAGGAATATGTGTAAAGAAATAAGATACGGTTGAAAGTCCGAATGGTAACAATGAAGATTTTAGTGGGACGGAGGGAGTAGTTTGTATTTTGGTACTTCTCTTATTTCCACTCGTGGCATAGGCAACGTTGGGCTTACTTGGACAATTACCGAGGAACCGTAAGGTGGCATATCTGCTTTAATTTTGGTACATCGTTTTCCTCTTTCATTTGGAGTCACTTGCATTTTATGTCTGATTTTACTCGTGACATTTTGACTTACTCTCTTCATTTTAATATGTTGACAAATTTTAGATGGGAAGATTATACCTATATAGTTATATTGCAATTCCATTAAAACATGGCAAGCATTTTGCAAAACTTGATGACAAGTTTTATTCTATACATCTTCAAAAGGATTTAATGTTTGTCTCTACATTTGTATCGATACATTGGATCCTTCTGAAAATAAAAGATTATCCAGTAACCTCTTTAACATATTTTCCTTAATGCCTGCTTAAGCAACATGATGGCAAAAGAAAATATAACCATGAGCCATTTATTATAAAGAAAATGCAAAGTTGAAATGACAGTTAACTTGCTCTGTTGGATATTAGCATTTCATGTGTTGATCTAGAGTTGACTGAAATTTTGTTTGAGAAGTTATGGAGTTAGGATTTGCAATTGGGCCCAACCCATATCATGTTTTAACTTTTAACAAGTGGAAATTCTGGACTTCTAAATGACTTCAATGTTCAAACCCAAGGGATTTGCAAATTTAAAATTCTTGAGGTTTGCCAAACAGGATTTGGATTTGCAATTCTAGAATTGTGAATCTTATGTGATTGCCAAACAAAGAACTGAAAATCTAAGTACAGGATTTAAAATATGGAATTAACAGTTTATGTTTCAAATGAAATCCCCCTATCCAAAGGCAGTCTGATATAATTCTTTTCAATATAGGCTGAAAAACTTTCCGATTTTGATTTTCAAAACCCCTTGATTTTATATTTTTTGGCAGTGGTCCTGCGAATGCTTAGCTTTGGATATGACTACCACTGGGCAGGAAAAAGCAAGCACTTTGACGAAGAGGTATTTCTGTGTTTAATTTTTTTTATTTTGCGAAGGTTTTGTGATGCCTGATGTTGCTTTGAACCTGTTGTATTTGGTACATACTGCATACTCTGAATCCAATACAACATTTCCAAAGTAATAAATATGATTCTATGAAACATTGCTAAAAGACAAAAATAAAGAAAAATGTATATGCAGTTATTCCCTCATTAAATATGGTTGTGGAAGTAAACACTCTTCTCGAATCCCGATGATGCATAGGTGGTCAATTTTTCTACTCCTTCCATCCAATAAAAGAGGTTCCCGTTTGACTTTTTATTGGAAAAATTTACAAACTGTGATCATAAAATTCAGAAAAGTTATATTGAATTATAATGTAAACTTAATATTCATATTTTTTAAAAAATAAATTTACATAAATAAAAATGTTATAACCAAAGTGTTTTACTGGATGTTGGACCGCGGCCCGCCAACCACCACCTAAGGATTAATAGCTGGCTTAACAAATCACCACCCGACGTCTTTCCAATTCACCACCCAATGCCTTTCTGGCATACTTTGTCTTTACTCATAAGCCAAACACACTTAACTTTGGGCTTTCTTGACTTTCTTCCAAAATGGTTTCTCGAAAAGAATGATGCACCATTGGTGTATGAGTAGTTATCTAATCCTTTAAGCCAATGCACCCAAAACTATACGATTGTAAGTTGAGACCTCTGTGAGCTCTCTCTAATTAGTGCAATGTGTTGTCCAATAATTGCCCTTCAAAAACGATGTTCTCGTATTGAAGAGCTACAACTTTTCTGTTATTGTTTTGAAATTTCGAATAATTTTTTTCAAAAAATTACGCCTAATATTTTTACTATAAATAAAACCCAACAAGAACATTTTTGTGTGTTAGGGTAATTGTGCTTTTGCGTGTATGTATGTACGTATGTATGGAGGCATGCATGTATGTATGTATGTATGAATGTATGTGTGTGTGTGATTCAACTTATTTTTTCAGCTTATCAATTATTACTTATTCTTACTAAAATCCAATTACACTAAATAAAAGATAACTTTAAATATAACTACAATCCGACCAGATCAGATCTTCAAAAAATCACATTAGGTGAGCAGAAGCATCCGTAGTCAAACCACGTCTTGTTTTGTAGAATTTTTCATTTTGTTTTTTATTCATTATTTTTTTAATTTTACACCAATTTTTAAATAAATTCAATAGAAAATAATTTTACTCAAGCATGGTAAATGGCAAAGTCAAGTTCTCTTTGGGATTGGGGGAGTATTTGTTAACATCAAAACAAGAAGTTAGCATACTGAGGCAAACATTGAAGACCTTTAAAAAGTCAAACAGGAACCATATTTTGGGAGCTAGGTAGTATTTATCTTTGGTAATTATGGAAACCAAGGTGCCCGCTAATTGTGATTTGTGGAGAATGCAAATTGCAGGTGAAATGTATCTTTTTTCCTATCAACAGGAATGGAGATACTGCCTAGCAACAGTGCTCTGCAATCATGGGCTATTAATTCCCTAGGGCTCTCAATTTCATCATAATCAGTACATAATTGGTCAAATAAAATCTGATGCCTGCAATAAGACAGTTGAAAGCAAAATCTTTTTGGTTAAATCTCTTCCATGAGTAATTGGTGTTTCTGATGACTACAGAAGCACCTCCAGCGATGTGAAAATTGTTCCTCGGGAAGAACATGCTATCTGCTTTTACAGGTCCATTGCACACCATGAATTATAATGTTGCTCTTATTTTTATTGTAGCCAGCATGTTTGTAGACTTTAAGTTGCAACCCATTTATCTTGTTTTGGCAGGAGAGAACCTTGAAGGATGACAAGTTCTCTATTACTACCTACTTGTGTTATTTGTTTTATGCTCCCCTCTACATCGCTGGTCCTATCATTAGTTTCAATGCATTTGCTTCCCAGGTATTAGACAGTGAGGGTTATATACTGCTAGGAAAATTTCATATCTCATTCAACATCCTGCTAAAAGATGCACTAATTTCTTTTGATGTGCTGATTTCTATTTCTAATTGATAACTGTTAAAAAGCTATCACATTTCACCTTTTAAACAAGAGCATATGAAAGTGGTGGGTGGGCTTATACACTAAATAAGAAATTGCTTTTATTGAATTAGGACACCCAGTCACCCACATATGGAATACATCAGGTTAAATATCTATGCATATAGCTACTACTAGGGACAGTCACACTTCCTATGACTCTGCGAAGGACAAGCAGCCTCCCTACAAGTATTTCAATAAAACTGTCTAGGGAGCTGTTATAGCTCACTAAATATTTTTCAATCCTGAACAATATTTTTAAAACCCCATGAAGGTGGACATGTTCCAATGTTGTTACAAATTGGATTAAGTATGACTATATCTAAGTAAAAAAAATGGCAGCAATGGCCAACTTAATAGAGCAAGCAGCACCTCCATCATAGAATAGAAGTTGGATGTTTAAGAAACGATCAAGTGAATACTCCCTCTGTCCCCAAATAAACTTCACCTTTACTTTTAGCATGATGTTTAAGAAATTTGAGCTTTGTGCATGTGTGGATGTCTAGATGAGATATTTTAATAAATAAAATAAAAATATTAATTACATTGTGAAGTTTATTGGGGGGACAACAAAAAAGGTAAAAGTCTTCTGGGGTATTAGGTAGGTTGAAGAGTCTGTAATTCAGTTACTCTTTGTCAAATAATTCCATGTTTTGTTTGTGTTGTTACAGTTGGACGCTCCCCAGAAGACTTATCTACCACATGATGTAATTTATTATGGATTTCGTTGGGTATTCAGCTTGTTTCTTATGGAGCTAATGACACATTTCTTTTACTTCAATGCCTTTGCAGTTAGGTGTGTTTACTTCAAAAGTTGAATAATCAAGTTTCTGATAACCTGACTTAGAAGTTAGAACCACATTTTTTCATTTTTAAACTTTGTGTTTATTTTTTTAGTGGCATGTGGAAATATTTATCCCCAATGGATGTCTTCATCATCGGGTACGGAGTAAGTATTGGCCTTGAGCTTTAGTAAATTTCTTTAACTGTCTGCTTGGCTAATAGCCAAAACCTTAAAAAGTTGAAACTTTTGGTCAGAATCAAAGGTTGTGCATCAATGAAAAGGAATTTTCGATCTCATTCTTTGCTAGATCTCTAGAACATGCAATGAAATCCTTTTGTTTCTTTATGACATAATAGGTATTAAATTTCATGTGGCTCAAGTTTTTCCTGATCTGGCGTTTTTTTCGATTCTGGTCACTGGTAGCTTCAATTGCCCTTCGTTTTTCAGTTTTCAAATTTTTTACTTCAAAATTTTCACAATTTTGATGTAACGCACTTTTTCCCTCATTATAGGTAAATGGTATCGAGCCACCTGAGAATATGCCAAGGTGTATCAATAATTGCTACAATCTAGAAACATTTTGGAAAAACTGGCATGCTTCCTTCAACAAATGGCTTGTCAGGTGGTATACTGAGATATTGTCTTCTAAAATGTCCCACACTTTGATATTTTTCTAACTTGGAATTTTATAAATTTTCAGATACGTGTATATTCCTCTTGGGGGTTCTGGTAGAAAGTTGCTAAACGTATGGGTGATCTTCACATTTGTTGCTATCTGGCATGATCTGGAGTGGTAAATTTGTAGTTTTAGCTGACCTGCTTCTGTCATATTACTCCTTCCGTCCCCAAAAAAGAACCTAATGTGCAAAATATAAACTTTCGTAAAGTATAACTGTTATAACTCACAAAAAACTATTTGTAATTTAAATTTTGAGTTTTATTTGTTGGTTTGATTAAATTTATCATATATAAGCTGTATGTGACTCAGTCTGGCAAATTACATAAAATTCTAGTATCATTTGTTCAAAATGGACTCCTTTTGGGGTAAAAAAAGTGTTTGAAATGAAACTCTTCCTTTTTTTGAGTATCTTTTGGTTTGCTGATGATTTCTTTGAGACTTTGACACTTTTCTTCAGGAAGCTTCTTTCATGGGCTTGGCTGACATGCTTATTCTTCATACCTGAAATGGTTGTAAAATCAACAGCAAATGCTTTCAAGGTGATATCATTTTGCTAGCCCAAATAATTTCCTCTTTGCACATCTCTTGTTCAAAGAAAGGATCTATTTATATGTATATATGCATAATTGCATATGGTTCAGCGACTAACTATGTTAATACTCACAAGGTGGAAAGTGCTGTAGGCAAGCTCTTATACTACGAACTCAATGCTGTTGCTGGTGCTGTCACCATCACTTGTCTTATGGTTTGTACTCTGCTCATTCATTATGCCAAATCTAGCATGAGGTCATTTCACAAGCTTCCCCTCATTTTATTCACTCCCACCAAAAACAATAGGAGCAACTTACACCCAAACTCCCTCGTCCTTGGTCCAAGTACCAAAAAATAAACTGAACAAATAATCTGGGACAGAGAAAGTCTATTACATTGATATCATGTATGCATTTGGATTTTCTGTACAGAACGGATGTAAAACTGTCATATTGAGAAGCCTATTGCTTTATTGACGGAAACCTTCTCAAGAGGGAATAATTGACAATGATGCTCTTGTAGGTGGCCAATCTTGTTGGTTTTGTGATAGGACCATCAGGGATCAACTGGTTAACATCTGTCTTCCTCAAAAGAGAAGGTTCATCTCTATGATCATCTTAGCTTGCTTTCTTCTGACAAAAAAATGATGCTATAATGGAAGTTTTGTGTCTTGCAGGGCTACCGGTTTTACTTGGCATGTTTGTGACATTTTATGTTGGGACTAAGGTTAGTGTAGAAATCATTATATTGGTTTGGCTTTAAGAAAGCTTCCTGTTTTTATCTCAGACATATGATTAATCTCCGTGCAGCTCATGTTACACATCTCTAATTCCAAGAAAAGGAGACTGCAAAAGTAGATTATGGAATAGAGTACACGAACTGCATACTTCAGACGCAGGTAAATTGCTTTTAAGCTCCAATTGGTACACGGAATTCAAGTCGTGGAATTGGAATTGGGAACTTTAACTCCAATTCTGGTGTTTGGTAGCACAAAAAGTATGTGGATTTGGAATTAATAGTGCAAAAAATGAATTGGAATGGGAGAATTCAACTCTATCGAATTCAATTCCATACAATTTCAATTTTAATTTTAATTCCATCAATTTCGTATACTAAGCTTCGGATTTTACTCTTTTTTTGGAAGCCGTTGTGATTTTTTTTTAAATGTTGCTTCATTCATGTACGCAGTTTCTCCTGGGTGCATAACAAACTGTTACAACTGCCCATAGATATCGTCTCTACAGGACTTCACACTGCTCGAACTCTTCGCTTAAGACTTGAACCACGAAAATTACAAGTTCTTAGCAAACCGAAACTCTCAATGAGAAGAAGTGATCTTCTCAAGTCTCTCTCTTTATAAACTGAACTCTCTTTTAGAGTATATGAAGAGATACAAATAAGACTCTATAAACAACACGAAGAATTCTCTCAAGAATAGCTCAAAGAAACTCAACAAAAGCTTATTAAAGTATATTTTAAAAAATGTATAATTAAACTATGAATTTGGAAGATGAATTCTAATTTTAGAATAGTGTTGGATCACCTCAATTTATAGTTAAAGAGGCTTGTGATCGTGGGGGATAAAAAGGTAATAAAAAGATTAGCAAAACCAGTGCAAAAACAAGTTGATTTGCAGGAAAGCTGTCCGGACCATCGATTGTCACAAAAGGCAAATTCTACCTACATATGAGCAAAATAAACATTTCTTTACTACTAAAATAAGCATTTATTTTTTTAAATAAAAAATAAGATAAAGGCTTTTTTTATGTGTGAACGTCCACAAAAATGATATGCACCCAAAAATGCCATAGATGGTCTCGACAAAAAAGTGCCAACTTTGGCAAATTTTTCTCCAACGCAAGGATTAGGCTACTAATGCCCCAAAAACACTTTTTTAAAAATAGTTCTTCAATTAAAAAAGGTTTTAGAATATAAAAAATATTTAAAAAGATATTTTAAAACCTTTGAGTCTTAAAAAATAAATGTGTTGTCTTCATTAAAAAAAAATTAGCTAATGACCCGTGTCTTTGGATTTTCGGTCTTAAATTCTTGTTGAGATTTTTTTCAAGTAAAATAAAGCGCCTATAAAAAGTGCCAGACATAGGCAAGTATATTACCTATACGGGCCGGATCAAGACGATCCGTAAAATAATAAGAAGACGTTAATTAATATTTGAGTTTGGCCCGCATGGGGGGCTAACCGCATGAATGGGGCACCGAGTATGGCTCTTGCAAAATAAATTAAGTATGGACATTTTAGTGGTACTATTCACGTTTCAGAGTATTAATTCAATCTGATTTTTTTTATTCAAATTAGACAAACATTATTAATCGTCTATTAAATAAGAATTGTATTGTATATAAGTACAAAAAAGTGTAATTAGATTTGTTTTGTGATTGTTTTAGATATTTATTTCATTGTATTACGTCTTCCATCCCAAATCTTCCTTCCCTGATGCAGTTTTTTATTTTAAATAAAAAGTGAGTTGTGTAAAAATATTATTAGAACTGAACTGAATTGGATGGTTTCATTGATCACAAACACCTTATTTATACAAACATAACTCTAATCTAATTACGAGTCCACTAATAAGCCCAACAATACCAACACTTATTTACATCCGCTAAAACTCCACCACGTTGAGCATGGGCTTAACGAATGCACAATTTGGACAATTATGACTAAACAAGAAACAACTCGATAAACAACTTTGGACACAACTTTAAACTTGATTTGCTGCGACAATGGACGGAGGCGTGTGACCAAGCAAACGAACAACCAAAATTGATGATGTATGACTCTCAAAACCTGGATTGAGTGTTGCCAGATAGGAGTTCGACGACCGACTCCATAAGCTGGCATGTCGTATATACAGCTGGTTGTAACTAAACATACCAAAAACAACCAAAAAATTATGTCATCAAATCATCAAAACTAAATGGGCGAAAGATTCAGTACATAAAAACCATGGTGTACACCTTTGGTGTACCCATAGCATTTTTCAGTATAAATTGGTGGGCCTCTAGTATCACTCAAAGTTTTATACTCTTATTCTTTGCTTCTTCACTCATCCACTCATTCCGGTTAAGCAGAAAAATGACCGGTGAGCGTTGCGCAGATGATAAGAGAATGAGTGCGAAAGAGATAACACTCGAGTTCGAATCTAGCAACTGCACTGGAAGAAAACTATGCTAAGCATAAAATCTTTGTAAACATCATACGCAAATTTCACGATTTGCTATCAATTTGTGATTAAAGTTCAAATTGTTTTCTCTCAAGTGATTGTCCAATCGATTCTGATGGACTCAAGGGTGCATCTTTTATTTATTTAGAAAAAGTTAAAAACAAAAACAAAATGAAATTCTTAAACAGGCTGTACAGCTCAATAGCAGTCGGTAGCTCACAGAGTCTAAGCCCTGACAATAATTACAAGAGAGAAAAAAACAAACGCCGGAATAAACATTTCTTTGAATTCCCCGCAAAAAAAAAACAGTCTTTCCCACAATTCACTCCCAAGAATCGCTCCACAGATCTGTATCTCAATCACACCTAACTTTCTTTAATCTGGGCACACATAGAACAAGAAAAAGAAGATCTTTTTCGACCCAGATTTTCTAAATCTGTGTACCCAGAGGGATTGGTGACTTCAAGATTTGACATTGGAATATAAATGCACATTCTTTTGTAAGTGTTTTCAGAATTTTTCAAGGTTTGGGGAAGGTTGGGTGAGGATAAGCTCGTCGTGATGGGACTCTGGGAGGCTATTTGCATTGCGGCGGTGGTGGTCGGCGGCGTTGCGCGGTGGAGCACGGTGGGCGGCGTTGGAATTGAGGATGTTTTCTTCAACGAGACAGAGCTTTCTCTCTTGGAATCTGTGTTTGATAGATTTTCTACTTCAGCTGCTAAATCCAACCAGCTCTATGTTCCCATCACTTTCATTAAAGGAGCTGATCCTAAAGCAGGTTCATTCTCTAATATTTATTTATTTATTATTTGGTACTTTGATGGCTTCAGCTTATAGTTCAAGATTTCTGTGCTTAGAAAGAGCTAGCTGAGTTTTTATTTGGGGGTTAGGAATGGTATTTTTGTAATTTTGGGATGAAGTAATTATTGCTTTTTTAATATACATATAAATAGCCATAGTTCATCATCAAGGAGTACAAGGATGTCAGTTTTGCTCACAAATTCATTACTAGATTTCCTTAAGGCAGTGTTTGGAAACTAGGAATTCATTTGAATTCTTAGATTTCAATTCCTTGAATTTTTGGCTTTTAAATTTATAAAGGAGGGTGTATGGATTTGTAACTAAGCTTTGTTGGGAAATAGAAGAATTTGGCCCAAATCCAAACATTTCGGATTCCCAAACATGCAATTTGGGTCAAGTATGACCCAAATCCAGATTTAAGTTCCCAAACATGCCATAAAGATTAGTTGTTTTATGAGAGCTGCAAATTTAGTTCTTAGTAGTCTTCTTCCTTTTGTACTGTTTGAACATTATGGATAGTGGCCAATGCTCATAGAGGGATAGTGTTGGCCAAATTTAGTCGAAAATAATTTAATCAAATAAAGTATAGGGATTACCAGAATAGTTGAATTTGCTAAAATCAGATGAACCAAAAAAAGCACAATATTTTAAGGTCTAATTTATCATTTTTTTTAACTATTTCCTCGCATAATTTTGCACCATTGGTACTTTGGTGTGCTGTGGCCTGATCCGCCACTCCCCTTCTCTAAATCCACCCCTGTGTAACCATATGTAAATAATGTAGAAAGATGTCGTTTTTCCACCATATGTAAATAATGTAGAAAGATGTCGTTTTTCCCCTTCTAAAATGATTTGATGTGTTTTCTCTTTGTCTGCAGTGTGCTTAGATGGGAGTTTACCAGCTTATCACATTGATAGGGGGTTTGGTACTGGAGAAAAGAGTTGGATCGTTCATTTAGAGGTTTTGATCGGCACTCTTTGAATAATACTAGTCATTAAATAGTCTACTATATGAGCTTTAATTTTTATGTTCAAATTCTATTAACATTTATATATTTTGCGAGAAGTTCACGAGCTCAAATATCCTCACGACCCATTTTTTTTTAAACTAATGTTCACGTGCTTGGCTCGAGCAAACAAATATCGCTTGCACATAAAAGATAATGTATGTTAGTCTAAATGTATGTTAGTCTTAATGTATATTTTGAAATAATTGATGTGGCAGGGTGGGGGATGGTGCAACAGCATGCGTACCTGCACATACAGCAGCAAGAATACACATCATGGGTCATCGAAGTTTATGGAAAAGTGGCTCCCGTTTACAGGAATTTTGAGCAATAAAGCAGAAGAAAATCCAGGTTCTTGTGTTTGGGTTTGTAGATAAAAATATTTCCTTGACTAACTGGAAATATCTAAATTCTTTCTTAAGTTTGAAATTATTTACTTACTTCGGGGTTTTGTCATAACGTGCAGATTTCTACAATTGGAACAGAGTAAAAGTTCGTTACTGCGATGGTGCTTCATTCACCGGAGACACTGAGGTTTGTTATCTTCTCTTTCTTATGCTTCTCTCCCTATTGAGCTGAAAAGATAAGCAAACAAATATCAATGACTGTGCGTCTGTGCCCTTATCTTATTGTTAGTCAAGAATGAGAAACCATTTGGATTTCTCTTTCAAAATCTTGAAAAGATAAAGTTTTGGTTTTTACAGGCTAACGGGCTGCAGTTTAGAGGGCAACGGATATGGAAAGCAGCAATGAATGAATTGATGATGTCAAAGGGCATGCGCTATGCCAACCAAGTAATGTTTTATTATGCTACTCCGTATTTTATTACTCCCTTCGTCCCAAAATAAACTTCCCCCTTTCCTTTTGAAAGTTAAACTTGGGACGGAGGGTGTATTATTATTATTATTATTATTATTATTATTATTATTATTATTATTTCCATTTAAAAAAAAAATATTCTGCTATGTTCTTTGCATAATATGGTTTCTATTTCAGGCTCTTCTTTCTGGATGCTCAGCTGGAGGTCTTGCTGCCATACTACACTGTGATGAATTCCGCAATTTATTTCCACAAAACACTAAAGTGAAGTGCTTGAGTGACGCTGGGTTATTCATGAACGCGTAATAATTCTTCCCCTCCCCAAGTTCTTAAGAGGTTTATTCCTAGAGGGCCCACCACAAGCGTCGATAATTTAAAAATACTAACTATTTCTATTGTTTTTTCTTGAATGTGAAGGCGGGATATATCTGGTCGGCACACTCTTAGGAAATACTTTGGTGGTGTAGTAAAGCTCCAGGTATACCAGATTTACCCCTATTAGAGTATGTTTAATGGATCTTCAACAACAAATTTGAGCTTTTGGTTGAGTTATGTCATCAAAG